CATCTCCAGCTCATCCCTTGTTTGGGTATCAGTCAGCACGTCAACGACTTAAATCAAGAAATAGTTTTCTTAGATCTACAGAGACACTCGCTGGAACACCTCAGCAAGAGAGAGTTCAAAAGTGGCAGGCTCAAACCCAGCACCTCAATCCGTGGGTGATACCAGATGAGAGACTCCCCCCTGGGCACACAGAAGACTGGGCGACTTGGAAGGCGCTGAACAGACTGCGCTCTGGCACCATGAGATGCAGAGCCAAACTTAAGAAATGGGGCTACAAAGTTGAATCCACGACATGCGAGTGTGGAGAAGAGCAAACCACTGACCACCTGCTGCAATGCAACCTGAGCCCTGCCACATGCACGATGGAGGACCTTCTTGCGGCAACACCAGAGGCACTCCAAGTGGTCAGATACTGGTCAAAGGACATTTAATCAGCTACCAAGTTTGCAAAATTTGTGCGTTTTTTTAATCTGTTTGTTTTGTTCTGTTAGAAATGTAATACAATGTTCTGGTTGCGGATGACACAATAAATAAATAAATTCCACTCCATGTTTTAGCAGATTTTTTAAAAAGACAAAATACAATCCATCTTGATAATGCCCAATATTTATCTTCAGAATCAATGAAACATTACTTTATGATACTCATATTTCCTACATGTTGCTGATTAGATGGCTGTGTTTATGCAGTTGCTTCCAAGCACTGGATTCAGATGTCCTTCTCAGAGGTATTTAGTTCCACTATGAAAAATTCATAGGAACTCACACTTGCCTGCTTTAATTGGACATTGGAGACAATCTATGTTGTAGGAAAAATGTCAAAGTAAAGAGCACTCCCCACCTCCCATTTATTAATATCCTGGTGCAAAGATATTGGCATCAGCAGTGAGAAATGCATGCATTTATGGAAAATGTCCAGTTTGCAGTTCATGCTAGCAGGGTTCTCTCAACACACAGCACTTACTGCCATGGTTGTCTTCTCGCGTCATTCAGACAGAAGTCATTGTGAATTACTTGTCATTAATCTTCCATGGACTGTACTGGAAGCAAAGCTGGCCAAAAACAGTTAGCATCTAAAGCAGAAAATCTAACTGGCAATTAAGCAATGTAAGACAATCTTATTCAAAGTGGTGATCTCCGGAACAATAATGGTCCCTGAGACATTGGCTGCTGGTCCCTGGTGAGTTTTCACAAAAGAAAAACAATCCAATACTGACAAATATGGATAATAGTCCTTTGTAGATTGGGGTTGCGATTGCTAGTTGCTCACATCAATAGTTTCAGATGCCCTGGTGCTAACAACAAACATAACATAACACAATTAAAACAGAGCAAATGGATTAAAATCTATATATATATAAATGCTCTGTGCATAATGAGTACCTTAAAAACAAAAGAACCAATGAACGAAATCACACCAAATTTGGCAACAAAACGTCTCACAATACAAGGAGTGACCATCACTCAAAAATTATGATTTTGTCATTTGGGAGTTGTAGTTGCTGGGATTTATAGTTCACCTACAATCAAGAGCATTCTGAACTCCACCAACGATGGAATTGAACCAAACGTGGCACACAGGACTCCCATGACCAACAGAAGACATTAGAAGGGTTTGGTGGGCATTGACCTTGAGTTTGGGAGTTGTAGTTCACCTACATCCAGAGAGCACTGTGGACTCAAACAATGATGGATCTGGACCAAACCTGACACAAGCACTCAATATGCCCAAATATGAACACAGATGGAGTTTGGGGGAAATAGACCTTGACATTTGGGAGTTCTAGTCACTGGGATTCACAGTTAACCTACAATCAAAGAGCATTCTGAACCCCACCAACGACAGAATCGGAGCAAACTTCCCACATAGAACCCCCATGACCATTAGAAAATACTTAAGGCCATCCAATCCAACTCCCTTCATCAGGGCAAAACATAATCAAAGTCCTCCTGACAAAGAGCCATCCAGCCATAGATATTGATAGATATGATTCACACACAGAGAGATATAGTATCATAGATTTGAAAGGGACCCCTAAAGAAGGGCAATGATATGTTGCATGTTCCAGAGTAGGCAAACCAGACACTCTCCACATCAACACTGACAAAGAAACAGCAAGAAATACTGTTTACCCACAAGCATAAAGAAATTATATATATTAGAAACTAACACTTTCTCATTACTTTATTTTCCAAATCATCAGACTGGGCCACAGCAACGCGTGGCAGGGGACAGCTAGTAGTAATATAAAAATTAATCCTGTGTGTCATGGAACTTCAAAATATTAAAATACCTCAAAAACTACACAGCCCCACAAAATCCCATTCACACCCATCCCCAGTAGCCTACCCCTGATCATTCCCTAGATGCCCGATTACACAGGTATGTTTTAACCTGCCCCATAGACAGGGCTATCCAGGTCTCTAGTAATGGTCATTTCTTCCCGTTGTATTTTATTGAGAGAATGGGGAGAGTCGTGATAGTTCAACCACTTGGCAGCAGCAATTTATAATAGTTGTAGATACACCTGACCATTTCAATTGTATGCAATTATTAATTCATAACAAAACAGAAAGTGAACTGGCCAGTGATTTAAAATGCTAAACGTGAGAAGAGCTCGAAGAATCTGAACATCCTGTGAGCTATTCAGAAGATGGCAACCCTGCAAGATAAGATAAGGCCTTAATGAGATATTCTCCACTTGCGGCATTACTTCTTTTTTCTAGATCAAAATGGTGAGTAAAACCTGACAATGTGATAACACATTAAACCACTTGTAATTTTTTGTGTAATTTGAAGCCATCATTTTGAAACACCTTGTAGTACAGTGATATGTGCTGCAGGGAAGGGTCATCAGATAAAGCAGACTTTTCTGATAGTTTGATTCAAGAAGGAAACATACAGTTATAACAACAACAACAACAACAACAACAACACTATATTTTGTTCTATCTCCCCGAGGGGACTCAAGAGCAGATTACAACGTATGCAGATAGAAAAACATTCAATGCCTTTAATATAGTGGAATAACAATGACATACAAATACACAGAACAAAAGTAAAGGCTTCCCCTTTCATGTCCGGCTTTCTGGAGATGGTGCTCAACTCTGGTCAAGGGGAGGTGCTCCTGTTCCATTTCCAAGCTGAGGAACTTGTTGTCCATACACACCTCCTGGTTCTGTTGGCGGTATGGCTTCATGGGCGCCTTTGTTACCTTCTCACCGAATTATACCTATTGATCTACTCACATTTACATGTTTTTGAATTGCTAGGTTAGCAGGAGCTAGGGCTAACAGCGGGAGCTCACCCTGACCCATGGCTTCAAACTGTCAACCTTTAGGTCAGCAGATTCAACAGTTCAGTGGTTTAACTCATGCCACTACAGCCCCATATTGTTCACTTAGAAGTTGCAATTAAAAAAAACAAACTAGTCACCTAGTATTAATTGTATGCCATAACTAAGCCTCCAGAACAGTGGTTCTCAACCTGGGGTCCCCAGATGTTTTTGGCCTACAACTCCCAGAAATCCTAACAGCTGGTAAACTGGCTGGGATTTCTGGGAGTTGTAGGCCAAACACATCTGGGGACCCCAGGTTGAGAACCACTGCTCTAGACCAATATGCCATAGCTAAGCCTCCAGAACACTATGTAACATGGAGTAGAAACCTGGCTGTACCTAGGACCAAGAACTATGATAAAGTGTATTATTATTATTATTATTATTATTATTATTATTATTATTATTATTATTATTAACTTTATTTGTACCCCTCTAACATCTCCTGAAGGACTCGATGCGGCTTACACAGGCCAAGGCCTCAGTAAAACAACAGCATAACAAATACATAATAAAACTCATAAAGCAACCAAAAACATCATGGACTGGAATTGCCAGACACAATAAAACTGGGCCAGGCCAAAGTAATGGGTGCAGATTAAAAGTGCTGATGTGACAGGTGATATGTAGGATTATAGGGTATGTGCAGTGTGCCAGCAATCTTAATTTCGACTAAAGTGCTTCTGGGACTTGTTGTTGGAGTTTTCCTATTCTGGAAAGGCACATCGGAACAGCCAGGTCTTCAAGTTCTTCCTAAAGACTGCCAATGTAGGGGCCTGTCTAAGATCTTTGGGGAGGGTGTTCCAGAGTCGGGGGGCCACCACAGAAAAGGCCCTGTCTCTCCCCACCAAACGCGCCTGCGACGAGGCGGAATCGCGAGCACGGCCTTTCCGGATGAACGAAGTGAGCGTGTGGGTTCATATACGGAGATGCGGTCACGCAGGTAGGATGGTCCCAAACCGTTTAGGGCTTTGTAGGTAAGCACCTGCACCTTAAATTGGGCTCGGAAAATAAACGGCAGCCAGTGGAGCTCCTTGCACAGAAGGGTTGACCTCTCTCTGTAAGGAGCACCAGTTAACATCCTGGCTGCTGCCCGTTGGACCAGTTGAAATTTCCGAGCCGTTTTCAAGGGCAGCCCCATGTAGAGCGCATTACAGTAGTCCAATCTAGAGGTGACCAAGGCATGGACCACCCCAGCCAGATCAGCCTTTGCGAGGTACGGTCGCAGTTGGCGCACAAGTCTCAGTTGTGCAAAAGCCCTCCCGGACACCGCCGACGCCTGAGCCTCAAGCGTAAGCGATGAATCCAAGAGGGCTCCCAAACTGTGGACCTGTGGCTTCGGGGGGAGTGTAACCCTGTCCAACACAGGTTTCCACCCTATACCCCGATCCGGTTTGCATACACCAATTTACTCTAATTTAGCCATCCCTGTTCCCCTCTCATCCTATGCAGACAGCTCTTGAAATTAGGCAGCCACACTAGCGCATTGAATTACATAGCAACAACTCCAAACATTGTAATCTTCCCCATTAGACTGCTGCGTATATCTTCTGACAGAAATAGCATCTGTGCAAACATCAGTGACAAATCAAATCCCCAGTTTTCTTCTGTCTGATGGGATTTGCAAAATGGGCCGACTACCGGAAATTGAAACATTCTAGTTTGATTCTGTGGCAAGGTAGCAAAGGCCAGGGATGGATGGGGGGATGCCTGCCTCATTTCCTCATACCGTTTGTTGGGGCCTTTTTGGAACAGCTGGAGTCTGGGGGGAACACTTTTGGAAGGTGCTGCTAAAAGGGGGTGCATTCCCAATATGTTGAATTCAACAGTCGTGTATTGGGCCGTGCTGGATTAAAACAATTTCATAATCCTAGCGATTTCCTTTGTTGATCAGGATTATGAAACCAATCATGAATATCAAAAGCCACAGCTTAAAGCATCAGTTTGGGACAGATGCCGTGCAGCAATGGATGCAACGGAAAATGCAGCAGACACAGCAAGAATAAAGACTGGAGGTTTCTGTTCCATTCAGTGATTTTCTCCCTGCCTTCTTTTTCCATTCCCAGCAAACAAAACATGTTGGACTGAACTGGGATAGCTGCACAATAGATACTTCAGGTAAGAATCACTTCTTTAAAACATTCATAACTTTTTAACTGCTGCTTATTTTGAACTCTGATAAACTATTTTACATTTTGGGAATGCATGGCTAGTTCTTTGTGGACCTGTGTACAACTGTAATATTTGAGAGTTTAGAGACAGAGAAAGAAAGGCATTGATCTCTTAATCTCGGAACCTAATCAGAAATAAAGATGGTAATAATAGTAATAATAATAATAATAATAATAATAATATAATAATAATAATAATAATAATTATTATTATTATTATTATTATTATTATTATTATTATTATTATTTCCGCTGGGAGTTCCGGATTCAAATAGCCAGAGTTTTGGAGCATAATACTCCTGACCTCACAATCGTGTTAAAAAACAAAGTATGGATCGATGTTGCAATCCCAGGTCACAGCAGGATTGCAGAGAAACAACTGGAAAAGCTGACACAATATGAGGATTTAAAGATCAAACTGCAAAGACTCTGGCACAAGCCAGTAAAGGTGGTCCCAGTGGTGATCGGCACACTGGGTGCAGTGCCTAAAGACCTTGGCCTGCACTTAAACACAATCGCTGACCACATTACCATCTGCCAGCTGCAAAAGGCGCATTATTCGCTAATACATCACGCAGTCCTAGACACTTAGGAAGTGGGTGGCGCAGTGGGTTAAACCCCTGAGCCAGCAGGACTGAAGACCGACAGGTCGCAGGTTCAAATCCGGGGAGAGGCGGATGAGCTCCCTCTATCAGCTCCAGCTCCACACGCGGGGACATGAGAGAAGCCTCCCACAAGGATGATAAAAACATCAAATCATCCAGGCGTCCCCTGGGCAACGTCCTTGCAGACGGCCAATTCTCTCACACCAGAAGTGACTTGCAGTTTCTCAAATTGCTCCTGACACGACAAAAAAAAAAAAAAAAGACGTGTGATCCAATTCAACAGCCAGCAGAGTGCCTGCTGTGGACTCATCTTGTTGTGTTTCAAATAATAATAGTAATAATCATAATCATAATCATAATAATTTGGGAAACATGTATTTTGGGGGATTCATGCAACATTTTAGTTGAAAATCTCACTTCTACATCATTGTGCGATAGTGCAACAAAGTTACCTAGTTTTGCATAAGACATTGCAACAAAGCAAGGGGGGGGGGCAGGAACTCTGCCCAGAAGCCATCTGATGGCAGCCGTGACTCCCAGTAAATTTACGGTGGCTGCCAGTAAAATGGGGAGGGCTGTCACTGTGATGAAGTGGTAAGAGCTAAATTCCACATCAGTTGTGAAAGTGCATTGTCTCTCTTTTGCTGAATCAAATTAAAAACATTTGAACGCACCCTTATCCAATCAGAATTTATTATTTTGATTTATTACGTATAATTATACCCCACCCTTCTGCCCCCAAGGGAGGACTCAGGGAGGCCTTACAACAAGCACTGTACGATGCTATCACTCTTATAGAAATCAACAATACATTAAAACAATTCATTAAAACAATCAGATTAAACACGCCAGTTAAAATCAATCCAAGTCTGGGTTAAATAATTGTCCCAGGTTTCCAAAGTCTTCTTTCCATATTGCCATTGTTCACTAATTGAACGCCTGGTCCCAAAGCCAAGTCTTCAATTGTCTTCTAGAAGACAGGAGGGAGGTGGCCAGTCTGATGTCCCTGGAGAGGGAGTTCCACAGACGGGCGCCACTGCCGAGAAGGCCCTGTCTCTCGTCCCCACGAAACGCGTTTGTGATGAGGGTGGGATCGAGAGCACGGCCTCTCCTGATGATGGCCGAGAATCGCGAACTTAGAAGAAAACTGAACATACTGACTCAGCAAAGTGGACTTACAATAGATTATCCTAAAGTTGCTGGGCCTTTGCTGCAGATTTTATCCATGAACAATAGTGTATCCAAGCAATATCATCAAGAAATAGAGGATTTTATAGTGAGTTTGGTTCAGGATTTGTTCACTAGTTGAACGCCTGGTCCCAAAGCCAAGTCTTCAATTGTCTTCTAGAAGACAAGAGGGAGGTGGCTAGTCTGAAGCCCCTGGGGAGAGAGTTTCACTGCCGAGAAGGCCCTGTCTCTCGTTCCCACTAAACGTGTTTGGGATGAAGGTGGAATCGAGAGCAGGGCCTCTCCTGATGATCTTAAACTTTGTGATGGTTCGTAACAGGAGATACGTTTGGACAGGTAGTCTGGACCAGAACCGCTTAGGGCTTTAAAGATTAAAACCAGCACTTTGAATTGTGCTCGGAAGCTGATCGGCAGCCAGTGGAGCTGTCGCAACAGAGGACTTGTATGTGTTCTGGAACAGCTGTTCCAGGAGCTCCAATTTTGTGCTTTGCACTGTTTGTTTATAGTTCTAAGTTTCAGGGACTCTGCAGATAGGTGGCTTCTTTTGGCTGCATTCATAGGGCAAGCCACCTGTCAATTATCATTGGGTTCCCTGGTTCCACCCCTTTCTAGGCTTTGGAGGGAAGGGAGCCTTTTCCAGTCAGTCACAGCAAGGTAGCCAATGTATAGGATGTGTTTACTTCCCCTGTACAAAGACTTCAACCTTTAAGAGCTCCAGGGAAAGAATGCCAGGGAAGCATCCCCACAGCTTTAAGGGTCTCCCAAGAACTCCAGGGATTCCTTCCTACAGCCTTGGGAGTTTCCAGGAAGACAGCCAACTCTAAAGAACATCCATTGCCTGTCTGGTAGGTCCTCTCAGTGTTTCGAGAAGCAGAGGAGCCAACACCAGTGAGGGTTGGATTTTAGTTAGCCTTGGGAGCAGTTAAAAAGGGGAATTTTCCTTTGAAGAATGTTACTGAAGATAGTGCCTGTTCCCTGTGGACAAGTTTGAGAGAACTGATACTTTACCAAGAAAGCTTTCAATTCCTGTTTGATTCATTAATAAAAGACTTTGTTGTCCTAAGGAGGCTGTCGAGGTCCTGAACCAGTGTCTGGCCGCTGTGACGGTCTGGATGAGGGCGAACAAATTGAAACTGAATCCAGACAAGACAGAGGTACTCCTGGTCAGTCGCAAGGCCGAACAGGGCATCGGGTTAAAACCTGTGCTGGATGGGGTCGCACTCCCCCTGAAGACGCAGGTTGCAGCTTGGGTGTGATCCTGGATTCACCACTGAGCCTGGAACCCCAGGTTTCAGCGGTGACCAGGGGAGCATTCACACAGTTAAAGCTTGTGCGCCAGCTGCGCCCGTACCTTGGGAAGTCTGACTTGGCCACGGTAGTCCACGCTCTTGTTACATCCCGTTTAGACTACTGCAACGCTCTCTACGTGGGGTTGCCATTGAAGACGGCTCGGAAGCTTCAATTGGTCCAACGTGTGGCAGCCATGATACTAACAGGGGCGGCACACAGGGAGCATACAACCCCTCTGTTGCGCCAGATCCATTGGCTACCAATTTGCTACCGGGCCAATTCAAAGTGCTGGCTTTGGCCTATAAAGCCCTAAACGGTTCTGGCCCAAGTTACCTATCCAATCGCATCTCCACCTACGAACCCACTAGGACTTTGAGATCTTCCGGGGAGGCCCTGCTCTCGATCCCGCCTGCAACACAGGCACGGCTGGCGGGGACGAGAGACAGGGCCTTCTCGGTGGTGGCCCCTCGGCTGTGGAACGCCCTTCCCACGGACATCAGATTGGCCCCCTCATTGATGGTATTCCGGAGGAAAGTGAAAACCTGGTTATTTGAACAGGCGTTTGAATAAGCAGTGCAATGAATTTCAGGAAATGGAACTACGACTGACGAGTTTGGATCATGATTCTAGTTATGAGACGCCACTGAATGTTTATTACTGTTAAATTGTTTAATTTGTTTCTGTGTTAACTGTTTTTAAGTACCTTGTTGATGCCGCATTGAATTTTTGCCTTGATTGTTCGCCTTGTTTTTGCTTGTTGTAAACCGCTATGAGTCGCCTTAGGGCTGAGAATGGCGGTATACAAATGAAGTAAATAAATAAAATAAATAAATAAAGTGTACCTTTTAAGCTATTTGAAGATTCCTTTTGTAAAGGAAGCCGCTGAGAACTTTTCCTAGGGCCCCTGGCTTCCCGCTGGATAAAGGTTTGTTGTTGTTCATTCGTTCAGTCGTCTCTGACTCTTCGTGACCTCATGGACCAGCCCACGCCAGAGCTCCCTGTCGGCCGTCACCACCCCCAGCTCCTTCAAGGTCAGTCCAGTCACTTCAAGGATGCCATCCATCTTGCCCCATCCCTCTTCCTTTTGCCTTCCACTTTCCCCAGCATAATTGTCTTCTCTAGGCTTTCCTGTCTCCTCATGATGTGGCCAAAGTACTTCACTTTGTCTCTAGTATCCTTCCCTCCAATGAGCAGTCGGGCTTTATTTCCTGGAGGATGGACTGGTTGGATCTCCTCGCAGTCCAAGGCACTCTCAGAACTTTCCTCCAGCACCACAGTTCAAAAGCATCCATCTTCCTTCGCTCAGCCTTCCCTAAGGTCCAGCTCTCACATCCGTAGGTTACTACAGGGAATACCATGGCTTTGACTAGGCGGATCTTTGTTGCCAGTCTGATGTCTCTACTCTTTACTATTTTATCGAGACTGGACATTGCTCTCCTCCCAAGAAGTAAGCGTCTTCTGATTTCCGGGCCACAGTCTGCATCTGCAGTAATCTTTGCACCTAGAAATACAAAGTCTGTCACGGCCTCCACATTTTCTCCCTCTATTTCCCAGTTGTCAATCATTCTTGTTGCCATAATCTTGGTTTTTTTGATGTTTAGCTGCAACCCAGCTTTTGCGCTTTCTTCTTTCACCTTGATTAGAAGGCTCCTCAGCTCCTCCTCGCTTTCGGCCATCAGAGTGGTGTCATCTGCATATCTGAGGTTGTTAATGTTTCTTCCAGCAATTTTCACCCCAGCTTTGCATTCATCAAGCCCCGCACATCGCATGATGTGTTCTGCATAAAAGTTAAAAAAGTTGGGTGAGAGTATGCAGGGTAAAGGTTACACATCCTATATCTAAAGTCAACTAGCTATAGGCCCAGCGGCGACAGAACAGTATGCTCCCTGTACGAATCCTCCTAAACTTCTTGAAAAATGCTGCTTCTCTCTCAAAACGGTTTTCCCAGGTCTCTGAGGGTGTTTAAAATTCTAGCCTGCTGCCTACAAAAATGGAGACTCAACAAAGCAAGGGGCATTCCTGAATGGCAGCCAAGGTTGGCCTAGCTTCCTCTCTCCTCCTCCTCCTCTTCTTCCCTATACTTTTCCTCCTTGACTTTTTCCCTCTGAGGGGGGCTTTGGTCCTGAGGTGTAGTGTTACATGCTGGGCCTTTCCCCCCTCTCCTTTGCACTCAGCTAACTTGAGCCTTTTCATAACATTTCTTCCCAGTTTACATCCAGGCCTCTTCCTCCTCCCTCCTTTTTTGTGCTAGTCGGTAGCCATGGCAATGTGACAGGTCCCTCCACACACAGTGCGGCCTATGTAGCAGCAGGCCGCTCTCGTGGTTTTGGGTTGGATTCCCTGGTATGCGGCTCCTTGCAAAGCAGAAGGCCAATTCCCATTCCCAAGGCTTGTCCACAGCTGGCTTGAGAAAGCAGAGGCAGGCGGGAGAGGGAGGGAAGGAGGGAGAAGAGAGGTCACATTGCTGCTGAGGAGAGTTACTCAAACTCCAAAACTCCCCCCTACTCCTCCTTCCTTTTCCCTTCTCCGCATCTTGCTCCCTTTAAGGGGTGTGACGCTTTGAAAGCCGCAGCAGGAAGCGTTATTTTCCTAAAGGCAGTTTGAGGCCTAGCTGGACTCTCCGAGGCCTCCCTATGGTGGGATTTCTTTATCTGGGCGAAGGCCGATCCGACCATCCTTTGCTTGCTGATAGGCTCTACCAGTGTCATAAGCACAGCTTTAAAAACAGACAACAGTCTCTTAGACTGCAAAAAGCCTGAAAGGAAAGGGGAAAAACAGTATTTGTTTGAATCATGTCTTTTGCTTAAAAAGATCGGCCAAAAAAGGTACAGAAGCGATGGAAAGAAATAATATTTATGCCCCAAATCAAGGAGGCCTTATCATCCCACTTCTCTTCAAGATCTAGAACCTGAGATGACTACAAACAACAATTGACTACAAACAACTGAGATGACTACAACAACGATTTTTGTTTCTATTTCTTTTCATTTGCCTGCCTGGATCTAAGAAGAATGTCGTCCCAGAACGGTGGTTCTCTAGCGTGGTGGTCCACATCACCACACTTTTCACAGAAGCAGAGTTGCTGCTGATACAAAAAGGATTGGTGAGTATAAACCTCTTGGCTTTTCCAGAATATGGTAACTTTACTTCTCTTTTACAGTGAACCACGTTCCCTTTTGCCTGCAAAATAGTTTGCCCACAAGTACATGAAGTGCATTCCATCTGAACATGAGGAAGAACTTCCTGACTGTGAGAGCTGTTCAGCAGTGGAACTCTCTGCCCCAGAGTGTGGTGGAGGCTCCTTCTTTGAAGGATTTTAAGCAGAGGCTGGATGGCCATCTCACATATTTATACATGGCTATGAATATGTGGCTTCCTCTCACATATTCATGTGAGAGGAAGCCACAGGGAGGAGGGAGCAAGCTTGTTTTCTGCTTCCTTGGAGACTAGGACGTGGAACAATGGCTTCAAACTACAAGAGAGCAGATTCCATCAGAACATGAGGAAGAACTTCCTGACTGTGAGAGCCATTCAGCAGTGGAACTCTCTGCCCCGGAGTGTGGTGGAGGCTCCTTCTTTGGAGGCTTTTAAGCAGAGGCTGGATGGCCATCTGTCAGGGGTGATTTGAATGCAATATTCCTGTTTCTTGGCAGGGGGTTGGACTGGATGGCCCATGAGGTCTCTTCCAACTCTATGATTCTATGTCAGTGTTTCCTGCTAACTGGAATTGAGGGTTGGAATGAAAATAGGAGACAAATACCAAATCCAGGATTCAGTGGCAGATGTGGCATCTCAGTTAAGGCTTCCCCAGTACCTCTTAATTTATTTATTTATTTTATTTATTTCGGATATTTGTACCCTGCCCTTCTCAACCCCCTGGGAGGAGGGGACTCAGAGCGGCTTCCTGCTGGCACATATTTGATACCTACACATAAACACAATAAATACATACCAAAATCAATAATTAACTAGTTTAAAACATTAAGTTAATATAATAAAATCTACAAAAATAAACCAGCCTAGTAGCTATTGTCTAGCCAAATTCTGTAGATTGGAGAGACCATCAAGCTTGCCCATAGTCCGTTTCCATAGCAATTGTCATCGTCATAGTCAAGTCTGCATAGATTGCCCAAAGGCCTGGTCCCGCATCCACGTTTTTAACGTCTTTCTAAAAGAGGGAGCTCCCGGTGGCTCAGTGGGTTAAAGCGCTGAGCTGCTGAGCTTGTTGACCGAAAGGTCGCAGGTTCAATTCCGGGGAGCAGCGTGAGCTTCCGCTGTCAGCCCTAGCTTCTGCCAACCTAGCAGTTAGAAAACATGCAAATGTGAGTAGATCAATAGGTACCACTCCGGCGGAACATAGAAGGAGATACATTCAGACATGCAATCTGAAAGTCATTGTAAGTAGGAACCAAAAGCTGCTTGCTTTTCTACTCCCTGTAATGCTTCGTGCAAGATGAGAATGGTAGTGCTGTTTAGCCAGGACCTTATCACATTGGGATATAATTCATTTATATCAGTATGCATCCCATATTTTTAAAGGACTAGATGCATACTGTATTGAGACGGGATGCATACTCTCCTCATCACACCTGATTATTACGATTCTTTTGATTTGAAAATACTATGCTTTCACGCATCATACCACAAAAGGCTAACTCCTCCCAATCCATGCAAAACACACCCTACATCACTCTATGATATTTTTAAAAGTCTCGTTGCTGAAGGGATACATACAGATTTTCCTTTCACACATAAAAACAGCACTTTAGCAATGTATTTCAAAAAACACGATTAGAATTTTATCTGCAAATACTCAATTTCTGCGATGCTTTGCAGACAGATTCTGACAGAATACTGACAGGATGTGGCAAACGTCATGTGAAGGGACCCATTCAAAATCATTCTCAAACAGTCTCAGAAATGGAGTATTTCCTAATGTGATAAGATCCCCAGTTGCCTCAGTACCAGTTTAGGTCTTGGAAAACATGTGACCTTGTCTAGTTCTGGATTTGGCCTTAGATAGCAGACTCCCCAACTCACAGTTAGAGTGATGTAACGGCTGAAAGAATTGATGGTCCAAAAGGGATGTGAATTGAAGCTGGCATTCATTGTGGTTTCCAACAAGCCAGCATCATCTCTGTACTCTAATCCAGAGGTGGTCTATGTCCTGCATTGTTTTTTCTTGTCATTGCTTCTAAAATCTTCTTGAAGATCTTTACCTTCCAATCACACCCGTCATTGAACTGGTAACAGATATAACAACAATTTAAAACAGTAAGTTAAAACAATCTAAAACATTATTCTCAGTCATATAACCATTTCCAGTCCAGTTCAACCTCCAAAGTGCTGTCATGCCTGTGTCATGAATGACTTTTCAATGACTTTGAAGCATAGGTTCTTTTTTTTTGCAATTTCCAGTGTGATAAGGTATATCAGATTACAGAAAACATTTAGACAAAGAATGACATTGGACATACATACCGATTCTATGCAACTACATTGGATTCACAATTACATTGGTTAACAAACAAAGGGGAATTACATTTTCATTCAACATTCACACACATGTACACGCATTCATCCACATGCATCCAAAATATTACCATATCATTTTCTCACTCCTTGGAGAAGCACCTGTTAGGCCAGACCCTGCTTTCCTGCAGCCTGCCAATGCATAGTTCCATAACTTCCATAACACCAAAACTTCAAATCTCTGAGATATCAAAACTTCTTTCCCTAAGCACAATCCCAAGGACAAGATCTCTGTTTTCCATACAGCAGAACCTGACTCCCTACACAGAATCTAAGACTCCAAAAGCGCACTTCTTCCTCTTCCCTTGAGAAAGAAGCCCCAAAGTGACCAGACTGCTCCCGTGCAGATCTGCCACTATCTGAATACACCATCTCTCTCCTTCCATGGAGCAGAGCATAGCGGGTGAACAGCGTCTCTGTCTGTCACAATTTGATCATTATTAGACTGAGTCTTTTATAGGAATATTTTGTTGATATAGTCCCAAAGTTGTAAATTAATGATAGACATCTTCCATCCTGTATCCATCCCAGTTTCCTGGCCAGATGTTGATCTTCTTGATTGGTGTTGATCTATATATAAGATATAGTATGTAGTAAACACAGCTCTGACAATGGTTATGGAGCAGAATTTCAGTAGTTGACATACTTAAGCTCCTTTCAATACTCAGGGTAAGCAGACGAAATCTATATAAATAAAAATGTAATGTTCGTTTGTGGGATTAACAGAACTCAAAAACCACTGGATGAACTGACACCAAATTTGGACACAAGACACCTAACAACCCAATGTATGTCTTATGTCCTTCACTCAAAAAAAATGATTTTGTCATTTGAGAGTTGTAGTTGCTGGGATGTATAGTTCACTTGCAATCAAAGAGCATTCTGAACCCCACCAACGATGGAATTGAACCAAAATTGTTACACAGTTCTCCCATGAGCAACAGAAAATACTGGAAGTGTTTGGTGGGCAGTGTCCTTTGGTTTTAGTTCACCTACATCCAGAGAGCACTGTGGACTCAAACAATGATGGATCTGGACCAAACTCTATACGAATATGCCCAAATGTGAACCCTGGCAGAATTTGGGGAAAATAGAATCTTGACATTTGGGAGTTGTAGTTGCTGGGATTTGTAGTTCACCTACAATCACAGAGCATTCTGAACCTCACCAACAATAGAATTGGGCCAAACCTCCCACAAAGAACCCTCATGACCACCAGAGTGGGCCACAGCAAGGTGTGGCAGGGGACGGCTAGTAGTATAGATAAAAAATAAATGTTTCAATATACAAATTATAGAAGTTATGCAGAATTGTCTTGTGGTTATTAGTATTTTGAGTGCAGAAATATAACAGAACTGTATACCACTTAAGTCTTCCTTGGTATGCATTATCTTTGGAGAATTACCTCCTGCCAAGCAAACAAGGATTTGTTCACATTGCTTTTCTTGTTTCTCCATGAAAGGTCTGTTGCCTACTGGTAGTGGAAACATGGATGGAAATTTCCCTACTGAAAAGAGGAAAGTCTTGAAAAGCATGAAGCAATGCATCAAAAATATTTCTAGATCCAAACATCCCCTTGAAAGCCCTGAGGATATAGACAGTTATTGCCTCAATGGCCCAGCATGGGTCCCAGTTGGACTTTCAGGGAATCCATGCAAGGGGACGTCTGTTTTGGAATCCAAGGTCAAAGCACTAAAAGAGAAGAGGGGTGTCACTATCAAGCAGGCTGAAGCACCATCCCAGGAACGGACTTCTCTCAAAAAAAGTAAAGCCTGGAAGGGAAAGCCACCAAAAGACCCTGCTTCTCAGGATGCAGTTGTGGAACCACAGGCTCAGATTCGCACCTACCTGACAGATGTGCTGTTGGACAGTGCTGATTACCCACATTCCAGGCAAAAGGAATCTCTAGAAGCAATCCCAGCAAGTTCACATGGCAGTGATTTTGAAAAGCATACAGGATCTAAGGCAGAAGAAGAACCTACAAACATTGCCTGGACGTCACCTGAGGAGTTCCGGAAGCTTCGCGGAAGAAATATTCAGGATAAAAAGGGCTGTTCAGGAAGAACGACAAAGAGGGCATCCCGAAATGGTCTCTATGGAGCCAGCTCCCTAAAGGACCTTTCCTGCCTCCAGAAATCTTTTGAGGAAGTAAATGGTGGAGAAGGCCACCTAGTTCAAGTCAGAGATGTTGAAAACTGTTCATTTGGCCACCCAACTGACACTTGTGGGATGGCAACAACAGGACGGCTTTGGAGGACGGAGAGCTGGGACAGTCTTGGCAGTGGTGGAAGCCATGCCACCACCCTGTCCCTGGCAGACAGAGTGGAAAAGAATCGATCTATGCTCCAGGAGATGCTGAACATGTCACAGCTTAATAACTGCTCTTCACATGAACTGCATACCCTCCATCGTCACAAGAAGGAAGCCCCAGCCCTTGGGAATGATGGACCCAGTAATGGTATGTACATATGAGGGGGGTGAAGCATTAGAAATTAAATGGTCTTTGTAATTAGGAGTTTGTGTACATACAAATGAGGAGAATTTAGAAAGCACTGTAGCAGAGAGCCACAACATAATTGAATCTCCCTTCCCACATTCAGTCCTGGCTTCCTTTTCCTTGGAGAGGGTTTTTAGGTATCTTATGTTTGTTGTTGTTCATTCGTTCAGTCATTTCCGACTCTTCGTGACCTCATGGACCAGCCCCCGCCAGAGCTCCCTGTTGGCCATCACCACCCCCAGCTCCTTCAAGGTCAAGCCAGTCCATTCAAGGATACCATCCCTCTATCTCGTATCCTTGGTCGGCCCCTCTTCCTTTTTCCTTCCATTTTCCCCAGCATTGTCTTCTGGGTTGTTGTAGGTTTTTTCGGGTTATATGGCCATGTTCTAGAGGCATTCTCTCCTGACGTTTCGCCTGCATCTATGGCAAGCATCCTCAGAAATAGTGAGGTCTGTTGGAATTAGGAAAATTGGGTTTATATATCTGTGGAATGACCAGGATGGGACAAAGATATATAAACCCAATTTTCCTAGTTCCAACAGACCTCACTACCTCTGAGGATGCTTGCCATAGATGCAGGCAAAACCTCAGGAGAGAATGCCTCTAGAACATGGTCATATAGCCCGAAAAAACCTACAACAATCCAGTGATTCTGGTCATGAAAGCCTTTGACAATACATAACTGTCTTCTCTAAGCTTTCCTTTCTTCTCATGATGTGGCCAAAGTACTTCATCTTTGCCTCTACTATCCTTCCCTCCAATGAGCAGTTTGGCTTTATTTCCTGGAGGATGGACTGGTTGGATCTTCTGGCGGTCCAAGACACTCTCAGAACTTTTCTCCAACAGCACAGTTCAAAAGCATCTCTCTTCCTTCGCTTAGCCTTCCCGAAGGTCCAGCTCTCACATCCGTAGATGACTATCGGGAATCTTATAGGCTTCACTAAATAAAACACTGAAGAATCACTCAGTCAAAGAATGTACTTTTCCAGATACTGTTAAATTATTTACTATCTATGGGAAAGTGTAGTGAAGACGACAAAGACCTGTTGTCTAATTACAAACAACAACACAAACAAGTTCCCAAAGTTTCATCTCATGGCAATGTGGTCAAAAGAAAATGCAAAAATAGAAAGAGTTTGAATTCATAGTAAATCTAATTAAATTACTGTATATAGTACTCATGGACAAGTATAGAAATGTTTGTCAAAAAAGTCAGACTCAAAAAACTGGGTCGACTTATCCACAGGTAAATGAAATCACTTTACCATAACTCTTATAGACTGTAACTCTTATCAATAAAGGAACCACTTGAGACGAGTGCCTAAAGGAGAGAGTTTAGTCTGTACCATGAGAACCTAAAAGAAATACCCACTCTTCCCACTCTCTGCCATGGTGCCATTGTGCTTTGTTGAATGCTAGGGCAAGAAAATGGCAGTGATGGCCAAGTGATGCATTCCTCATATGTAGAATGACCCTTGATTTATCTATAGAAATCTAAAATGTTAGTTCTAAAAACTGTCCTCAATTTATACATAAGATTAACTTATACATGAGTATATATGGTGTGTGATTTCTAAGTATGACACAGGAAGGAAAGGACTAAACATGTCCTTTTTTCCAGATGCTGGGATCACTAAAGGAAGTGTGCACGCAAGTACACTGCTTGTTTTACTCCTTATGAGAGAAGTAAATAATTGACAGGAGCAGGGTGAATAGGTTACAATGAAAGCAAAATTTGCTTGCTATTTTTGAAAGTTAATGTTTCAGGTTCAAAAGAAAGAAGACGTTGAACCTGCAGTTCAAAGAATTGCTCCATTAAGCGATAAAAACAATCTGATCATGAAAACATATTATTTTTCTCAAACGTTAATTTTACATGCCTTACCCTTTATTTCAGCCATGTGGTCCTTCAATGCCACAATTCAGCTTCTTCTCACAAAGTCAAACAAAGCCTTCTGCTTAGCCCCCATCCTAACCCAGTCCTATTTTCGATTGTGTTGTAGTTCATTTTTGCCAGATGCATCCAGAGATCATTCTTCTGTCTAGCATTCTTGTGAGATACCTTTTCTACCACCCTCTTTCATTTTCTATTTACAAAACAAAATATTTCCTTGAATGGAGATTTGACCCCTACAGAAATCTTGTGATTCTCCTGGTGTTTCAGAAAGTGTATTGTTTAAACGTATGATTTGGAAGAGGAGGGATGATTCAGACCCACTTCCAATATACTGCAGATCATGATGCTTTGGATAAATAACCATAACCCAGTCTCTCTCCCCGAAGGGACTCAGGGCAGCTAGCATTCCCACATTTAAATTATCTGTTCACATTTAACCATCGGTACCCATTAGGCATGGATAGAGTCTCCCGGATAACTAGTTGCTCGTAATAATTTTGTTAAAATTACCTTTTTGAAACAATATCGGAACTTTTTTAAAAACCGGAAGTCCCTTTCCCTTCCTAAGCTTTTTCTGCCATTTTTGTTACGACTCAGGAAGTGAGTCGGAAATTATTTAGCTTTTCCCCGCTTCTGGTCCCTGACCTCAGATGAAGCCAGAGAAGCCAGTTTTAAACCAGAGAAGGAAGGAATTTCCTGGCCTCGGCTCAAGCCAGAGAAGGCAGGTTTAAAGACAGAGAAGCCAGTTTTAAACCAGAGAAGGAAGGAATTTCCTGGCCTCGACTCAAGCCASAGAAGCCAGTTTTAAAGCCAGATAAGCCAGTTTTAAATCAGAGAAGGAATGAATTTCCTCYGCTTGCTTTTCCCCGCTTCTGGTCCCTGGCCTTGGCTCAAGCCAGAGAAGCCAGTTTTAAACCAGAGAAGGGAGGAATTTCCTCCGCTTGCTTTTCCCCGCTTCTGGAGTAAAACAACTACTTTCAAAGTAAAGACCACCCAATGAAACAGGAAATAACACTTTCAAACCATTAATGAAAGGATTCGGAAGTCTCGGAAGTTTCGAAAAGTTTTGAATTTTTTTCTGTGAAAATCGGAATTGACTTTAGAATCGAAACACCAGYGTCCCCTACATCCGAAACAAGTTTTGAACCATTTTTTTWATCAACCAAGCCTAGTAACCATTGTTRCGGACTACTATCAGGAGAAGGCCCCTTTCCTTTAGTACATAAAAGTGAAAATTTCAGTTAATTCCAATGGCAGTTTTTTTTCTTTGACTGTTGTGATTTGCTATCTCTATTTCTTTTCATTCCCTTGAATTTTTCTATCCTGCCTCTGACCCTCACTTTCACCAAGATTAAATTGGAATCCTTACAGCATTTGCTTCAGTGTACATCTCAATGAAGTCAATGAGTTGATATGTCTGCCTTTAAAAACATTCAGAAATGAGATGAAGGAAAGAAGATATTGTGCCCCCTTCTACACTGCCCTGTGTTCCAGGATGTGATCCCAGATTATCCGCTTTGAAGTGGATTATATGAGTCTCTACTACCATATAATCTGGGATAATCAGATAATCTGGGACCAGATCCTGGAATATAGGTCAGTGTAGAAGGGGCCTGCCTTTTCTGACTCAAAGCATAAATACTTAGTAAACACATATTAGATTACACTGTATTTGTGGTAGCTTCAAAAGACTTGGCATGATTGAAAAAATAAGTATTTAAAAATCAAATAGAGGATTTTTTAATTATTAAAAGAATTACATAAGACTAGTGAGACTATGTACATCTTGGATACCAGGATGATTTGAGGGGAAGAGATGGGCAACGTAGGCAATAGCACAACCACAGAATCAGCACCCAGGATTTTTCATGCCTCTAACCATTCCCACTTGAGAAGCAAAACAATTTAAAAACAAATTATGTGAATAGGAATATTTCCCCAATAAACCATGTGAATTGCTAGTGATTCTAATATTTTAAAAATGGTAACATCAATATCTAAAAGAATATATCTTCTCTTATGAATTTACTCACACTTGTGGCCAATATTCTGATTTCAAGGCCTTTTGTACTTATTCCCGGGAACCTGGTTTGGGTTGTCATTATGTTTTTTGTGTGCTGCTGAAAATAACAATACCATACTGGTGTCTATCTACAGATGTTATGTTTGCTAGGTAAAGACTTCAGTCATTCTTGTGCAATCTTATCTTACCAAAATATTGGGAAGAGAACTGACATGCTGAGTCAAAACAAAGATCCTAAATAGAAGTGCAGTGAGTTGATTGGCATTTGTTTATGTCCAGTATATAAAAAGATAACTGGCATGGATAGCAGAGTTAGCCAATTTATAGGTGCCACAGCACTGTAATTTTTTTCCAGTCGTGGACTACTTGTCTTAAAAGGACGGTGGTTATACTGAGCCTGCTTTTTAAGAGTTTCATGAAATAATGTGTTTAACCAAACCAAAAAGATTCTGTTTTGTACAAGTGCTATGTGGTAGGTGAAAATGGTAATTAAAACAAGGGGGAAAATCATATCACGCTACATGTTATGTATACAATAATTTTTCTATGTCCACTTTAAACTAAACAAGCAAAAGTCCAAACAATAAGCTCTATCTTGGATCATACTTTAGTACAGGAATGTGGGTCCACAGGCCAATTTTCTGCTTTGTGAACCCTCTGGAGGCTGCAAATCCAACCCAAAAAACGTGAAGGTGTCTACAAGTCGGCTTCTATTAATCATAGACTCATAGAGTTGGAAGAGACATCATGGGCCATCCAGTCCAACCCCCTGCCAAGATGCAAGAAAATCACATTCAAAGCACCCCTGACAGATGGCCATCCAGCTTAAAAACCTCCAAAGGAGGAGCCTCCACCACAGTCTGGGGCAGAGAGTTCAACTGCTGAACAGCTCTCACAGTTAGGCAGTTCTTCCTCATGTTCAGGTGGAATCTCCTTTCCTGAAATTTGAAATTAAAATGCATATATTGTAATATGTAATGCAAGGGTGCTGTAAATGTTTAAAAGGTGAACACATGAGGCTAGTAAGCCTCAGCCTGATGGAGCCACACTCTTCTGTTGGGCTGTGGGTCACCAGCCTTGCAATGTTCTCAAACTGGTGTCATTTGTGACACCTTCAAAACTTCCCCCTCAGTTTTGAAGACCTCATGAATGAGACCAGTTGGAAATGTTAGCAATGTAATTGAGCGAGTCCATCAACCTTGGCCTGATAAGAGTGGTGTGGTTTCCCAAACAGTCTCATTTACGCTGCCTGCCATCCTGACATGTTATGCCTGTGATGTTGGGTGCATTATATTTGAGGACAAATCAATTTTTTTGTAATGTGTACCGTCGAAATTGAAGTGTGCATTACATTCAATGGCACATTATACTCGAGTAAATATGGTAAGTTCAGTCAGAGGGAGAAAGTGGTGGACAAACATAAACGTGGACAATTTCAACAGAAATGAGGAAACCATGAAAATGAACAAGATCTGGCTACCAGTATTAAAAAATTCAAAAATTGCAACAGCAAAAACAGTAGAGAGGAAACAGGCAGGGACATCTAATTACCTTTCAAGAAGAGTTTGCTCCAGGCACAGTCAGCCCATTGTATGCTAATCAAGGTGGTCAGTTGAAATATTCACACCTAGCCCAACTGACAAAAGTCCTTTGTCTCACCCTGGTCATTCCACAGATATATAAAACCCTTTTCCCAGTTACCAAACAGACCTCACCTCTGAGGATGCTTGCCATAGATGCAGGCGAAACATCAGGAGAAATGCCTCTAGAACATGGCCATATAGCCCGAAAAAACCCACAAGAACAAAGTGATGTGTGTGTGGATGAGTGATGGTGAGAGCATTGTTGACTTGGATAACGGCACTTTAGAGAAATTCAGATTTGGGTGTGAAGGGCACAGAGATCAAAATCCCTTTCCCTAGAAGACATGCGTTTTTCATGTCCTGCTCCTTTACATGTGACAAAATTGATTAAGTGTTTCTCTTGTTGTATATCTACAGAGATTTTGCCAAATGATGTGGACTGGGATTCTGGTGTTTCCTTACAAGATTCTGAAAGCTACCGGTAAGGTTACAGATATCTAACAGGCTGTCCTACTTTAGTGCTGGAAAAAGGAACCATTTTTTATTTAATGCAGAATCTTCTTCCTTGGAAACAGTTTATTCCACATGATCCACTTCAGACTTTTATGAGTTTGAATAGATTTGTATCAGATCCATGCAGATAGAGAAGCTTTTCTCTTTGATTATGACTTTCCGAGCCTCACTGTAAACATATTTGGAAGCTCTGAAGAGCCATTACCAAAACTACATGCCTGGTGTCAGTACTGTTATATTTCAGCCTCTGGCCCTTCAGATGTTTCAGGCTATAAGTCTCACAATTCCTTTACATTGGTCTTAATAGTGGCTGAGGCTACTGGAAGTGGAAATCTGAAACATCAGAAGACCAAAATTTCCCCGTCCTCAGCCTATGCAATGTCACCGGAACTTGTTGTGGATACTTCTTAGGTAATTGTTGGTGTTAAACAACAAGAAGAAATTGACAAATTGTTACAGGGGGGAAATGATAGAGTTGTTGAGTGTTTTTAATATCTTATTCAGAGTTGCTAACTCTAACTCAGAATAAGATTTTAAAAATCTTATTCTGAGTTGCTAACTCTTTAACTAGGAGCCCCCAGTGGCGCAGTGGGTTAGACCGCTGAGCTGCTGAGCTTGTTGACCGAAAGGTTGCAGGTTCGAATCCAGGGAGCGGTGTGTGTTTCAGCTGTCAGCCCCAGCTTCTGCCAATCTAGCAGTTCAAAAACATGCAAATGTGAGTAGATCAATAGGTACCACTCCGGCGGGAAGATAAGTGCGCTCCATGCAGCCGTGCCGTCCACATGACCTTGGAGGTGTCTATGGACAACGCCGGCTCTTAGAAATGGAGATGAACACCACACCCCAGAGTCGGACACGACTGGACTTAATGTCAGGGGAAAACATTTACCTTTACTAACTCTTTAAATGATTTCTGTACATGATTAAAAAGTTATCTGAAAGCTGAAACAAATTGAACTGTAGCATGGAAAATGTTTTGGTTAATCGACATGTGATAATATTTAGCATTTATTGGAGATAGTGTGATTATGTAAAAGAGCGACAAAAAAACTAGTTCTCCCCATGTTTATCATCTAAATAATTTTAATTGTTCCAACAGAGGTGCATATAATTTCTATTTTTAACAATTTAATGTTTTGTAATACAATTCACAAATCAAGTCTTTGTGATATTGTAGCATGTCCTCAAATTGAAAAAAACCCAAGAATTGAATTGAAATGCCTTCAAATACATTTGTAAATATATATTTATTTTAATCTCTGTTGTATTTTGTGTTATCTTGCATTCTAGACTTTTAATCCTGTCCTTTGTGGAAATCAAATCAGATTTCTACTTAGATGTTATCTCGGTTTTGGGTTGAATATCCCTTATAAGAAATTCTTGGGACCAGAATTGATTTGGATTTTAAATTTTGAAATACCTGTATTTGCATATACCTACATAATGAGATAACTTGGAGACTGGACCAGGTCTAAACACACAACACAAATTTGGAGACTAGATCCAAGTCTAAACACAAAATCATTGATGTTTCCTATACACCTTACACACATAGCTCGAAGATCATTTTATACACAATATTTTAAACAATTTTCTGCATTGAACAAAGTTTGTGGAAATCAAACCATCTGAAAGTCAAGATGTGACTATCGCAGCCACACGTGTTGACAGTTTTGGATTTTTGAGCATTCCAGATTTTGGAATTCTGGATAAAGGATGCTAAATCTGTACAATTATTAGAAGTGCTTTCCTTTTCATTCTTAGTTATCTTAGTAATAATCTTAAAATATGTCATAATTACTCCTAAATTGCAGTGGTTTGAGAGTCAGGTTAGAAAATGATGTCTTGCTGACTGCCTCCTGGTTAATTTGTGGCTGAAGTACATAATATTTGAACCCAGGATTTTCTGGTTCATACAATCACACCCAATTCAATTTAGGGTGATTAATTTAGTAGATAGGTGCATGTTTGTGTTCTACATTTAAGGAAATAAATGTTTCAGAGGAAATTTACTACTACTACTACTACTACTACTACTAATAATAATAATAATAATAATAATAATAAATCTTGATTTATACCCCGCCACCATCTGCCCAAAGGTGACTCGGGGCGGCTTACAGGAGGGCAAGCCCGATAATACAATTACAGTAAAAATACATACAAAACAGCAAAATAACATAGCAATAAAATAAGTGAAACATAAGAATAAAATAAAATAGTGTAAAATTCAAAGAAAAAAAACAACACAGAGGGCGGGCCAAATGTACGAGATCAAATTATTATTATTATTATTATTTGTCGTGTCAGGAGCGACCGGAGAAACTGCATGTCGCTTCTGGTGTGAGAGAATTGGCCGTCTGCAAAGATGTTGCCCAGGACGCCCGGATGTTTTGATGTTTTTACCATCCTTGTGGGAAGCTTCTCTCATGTCCCCGCATGGGAGCTGGAGCTGATAGAGGGAGCTCATCCGCCTCTCCCCGGATTCGAACCTGCGACCTGTCAGTGTTCAGTCCTGCCGGCACAGGGGTTTAACCCACTGCGCCACTGGGCGGTAAAACTCTGGGAGAGATAGCAATGAAAAGGATATATTTGTAAGGGAGGAACACGCAGAATATAAAGGAGAGAGCAGTTGAAGGTGGCCAATCTGCTGGGATGTCTCTGATTGTCCCCTTCTCTTTCTTTGAATCTTTCTAATACAGGATAAAAGATTCTCAAATTCTGATTTTGTAAATATGAAGAGTAAGTCAATTCAGGATGGAGGTAGTCGTTCTTGACAATTTGAAGTATCTGACTTGATGTTGTTCACATTTCTTTACAGGTCTCATGCAATAATTGCATTATGAGAAATGTATAGGTTTCTGTGTGGTGTTTGCTAAAATATTTGCTTTTGTCTGGATAAGCTCTGCCTGTAGGAAGGTATGATTCATCTCCTTTCTGCCTTCATCTTCCTGTAAGGCACACAGAAAAACTGTTGGAGGCATCTGATGCTGTAACGATGTCTTGGGTCATTTTGATGGCTTCCATTCATGCTAAATGCCTTAGCAAAGCTTCTTTGTAGGCTTTGGTAGATGACTCTGAGGATGTTTCGTATGTAAACAAATGGCCAGGTCCATTCCGCTTTCTAAGCTGAAAGGAAAAGCAGTGTGGGTGTATATAAGTATCTGTAGCTTTGTTGTGGAGACTGTGCTGAAAGAGTTAAGCTGAGGCCATCTGAAGTAACGCTCTGAGCAGATTAAAATAATCACCAGGATTATGGACAGGGCCAATGGGGAGGTTCTGAGTGAGCATGTTGAGTGGGGGCGGATAGAAGAGGAAAATGGGTCAGATGTTGAGTCAGTGGAAAGTAAGATTGATGGCACCCACATTTTTGGTGTTGCAGTAGCTGTGAAAAAATAAAACAGAATAAGGAACATACTGTCCAGCTGCACTCAGGATGTCAACTACTTCTGTATGTATCAAGAACAATTTGGGTTTTTGAAGCAGACAATATAAGAAGTTGCTACCAAATAATCTAACAGAAGATCCAGTCTGGTTTAGAAATTGAGTCACTGACTTGGTACAATCCTATTCCTAAAAGTTGGATTAAATTAATGCAGTGCGTCTTATTTCTTAGTAAATATCCTAAGGATAGCACTGTAAAAATCCTAAATTCAAATATATGTTCAGCTGGGGAGTTCCCTTGCTTATCTTTAGACAGTAGTTCTCTCCTCCTCAGTCTATAGAATCATAGAATCAAAGAGTTGGAAGAGACCTCATGGGCCATACAGTCCAACCCCCTGCCAAGAAGCAGGAATATTGTGTTCAAATCACCCCTGACAGATGGCCATCCAGCCTCTGTTTAAAAGCTTCCAAAGAAGGAGCCTCCACCACACTCCGGGGCAGAGAGTTCCACTGCTGAACGGCTCTCACAGTCAGGAAGTTCTTCCTAATGTTCAGATGGAATCTCCTCTCTTGGAGTTTGAAGCCATTGTTCCATGTCCTAGTCTCCAAGGAAGCAGAAAACAAGCTTGCTCCCTCCTCCCTGTGGCTTCCTCTCACATATTTATACATGGCTATCATATCTCCTCTCAGCCTTCTCTTCTTCAGGCTAAACATGCCCAGCTCCTTAAGCCGCTCCTCATAGGGCTTGTTCTTCAGACCCTTGATCATTTTAGTCGCCCTCCTCTGGACACATTCCAGCTTGTCAATATCTCTCTTGAATTGTGATGCTCATTTACACTGTCCTATCTCCCAGTGTTTTAAAATTTTATCCTTGAATTTGGCCCTGCCCAGTGAAATCTTTTGTGTTTTAATGTTTGATTTTATATTGTTGTGTCGCTTATTATATTGGTTTTGCATTTTATGTATTTTATTTTCTGGTTGTGTTATTTTGTGTTATATTGTGTGTACTGTATTGATGGGCGTGGCCTCATGTAAGCCGCACCGAGTCCCCCTGGGGGAGATGGAGCGGGGTATAAATAAAGTTTTATTATTATTATTATTATTATTATATTATTTTACTGACACCACAGTATGTCACAGCAAACGAGATCTCTATGCTGGATTTCGTATCACAAAATCACAAGTTGAACACTTCCCAAGCGTCTAGGACTGTGTGATGTATTTTCGAATGATGCCTACAAATCCCTAAGGTGGCCTTTTGCAGTTGACAGATTGTGATTTTGTCAATGTTTATTGTTTCCAAATGCCGGCTGAGATCTTTTGGCACGGCACCCATTATTATTATTATTATTATTATTATTATTATTATTATTATTATTATTATTAGGCTGGTTGTGAGAGTAAGATAGGAAGAGACCTGTGAGCTTCTTTGCAGAAGGACAAAACACAAATACTTAGTTAAGTGAGTGTGAACCAGTGAGCAAAATCTTCACAGTGCCAGTCAGCTTTTTAAAAATAGAAATGACACCACCTTATAAGAATATTTTCCTCAAGGCAGTAACTTTATAGCAAAACATAAGATCTTATCTCTACACATGTAGATAATGTTTTCTTCTATTTGTGGTAGTGATGGAGAATTACATTCCTAATTAGGGAAAGTTGTGATGGAGAATTACATTCCTAATTAGGGGAGAGTGTTATAGTAAAATGCATTAAATATTTGCCTAATAAACACTGGCTTGCATCATTTTGTGAACATTATGTATTTTCTTTGGAGAGGTAATTTTGCTTTGAAGCTAAAGTTAATCTTTTGAAATAAGGGCACTATGTTGTAGAGCATTTATTGTTCATTGTAAAGATGTTCACCTTTTTGCCTTGCCATTATTTGTGATAAAATATATTTTAGGTTAATTTGGTTCTTGAGGTGTGCTTGAAAATCCAGAGCTAGCCATGCAACTAGTCATGAACTCGGTTGACACATGTTTGGCTATTCTAAGCAGCTGTGCTAACATCTCTGACGTCCTGTGCGCCAAATGATTCGTGCCTGTTCCCACTTCAATGCCTGGAATAATTTTCAAGTTTTCCGTAGACAATATGAAGAACAGTCTTTAAAAAAACTTTGCCCACTTTAATACTCATGTATCTTTCAAAGCTTTGGAGAAAAGGACCTTTTGTAATTGTGTTATACATCTATAAATCCTAATTTTAATAATCTATAAATATGGTTTTTTCAAAGCGTATATAGTCTTCTGCTCCCATTGCCCATTTTTATTAGTCTGCATGGTTACTTAGGTAAGTTTCTATCCAGGATGGTTTAATCCTAGTAGGGGTGGAAATAATATTTCAAAATACTGTATATACTTGAGTTTTTCAGTCGTTTTTTTTAGGCTGAAAAAGTCTCCCCCGGCTTATACTCGAGTCAAAGTTATTTATGATTTTACTTTGTTGTTATTATTATTATTTTTGTTGTTTTACTTTATTATTGTTGTTATTACATTTATTATTTTACTCTATTTATTATTGTTATTGTTACATTTATTATTAAATGTAATTGTTATTATTACATTATTTTACTCTATTATTATTATTATTATTTTACTCTATTTTTATTATTATTGGAAGGATACGTAAGCATATTTACATTGAAGAAAGTTAGAATAATGGTTGAATCAGAGTTGGACTGTCTTATGTTGAATTACAGTTTTAAGTAAATATTCAAAAACATTTAACCAACTGATGCGTCAATAAATGTAATTTTATTGGTTTCTATTTTTATTTTGAAATTTACCAGTAGCTGCTGAATTTCCCACCCTCGGCTTATATTCGAGTCAATCAATTTCCCCTGTTTTTTGTGGTAAAATTAGGTGCCTCGGCTTATATTCGGGTCAGCTTATACTCGAGTATATATGGTAATTAAAATGCTGGGTTAAATGTATTATCTTCAGTTTTAAGAAACTATGAGAGAAATCCTGAACAGATGAGAATCTTCACAGTTTGGAATTTATTGTGTCCAAAATTTGTCAGTGGCTGTTAGTGCCAAAACAGCAATGTTGGCAAAAAATGCACCTCACTACCTCTGAGGATGCTTGCCGTAGATGCAGGCGAAACGTCAGGAGAAAATGCCTCTAGAACATGGCCCTATAGCCCGAAAAAACCCACAAGAACCTAGTGATTCCAGCCATGAAAGCCTTCGACAATACAATGCTATTTGTTATCCAGAAAAGGCTGCAATTGGTAACATAATCTGAACAAATTTCACATGTGTACAAAACAATCTGATGTACAAAACAACACCGGAGCCCCCTCTGGTGCAGTGGGTTAAACCGCTGAGCTGCTGAGCTTGTTGATCGAAAGTTCGTAGGTTTGAATCTGGGGAGCGGCATGAGCTTCTGCTGTCCGCCCCAGCTGCTGCCAACCTAGCAGTTCGAAAACATACAAATGTGAGTAGATCAATAGGTACCGCTCCAGCAGGAAGGTAACGGCTCTCCATACTTGAGTATAAGCCTAGTTTTTCAGTCCTTTTTTTAGGCTGAAAAAGTCTCCCCCAGCTTATACTCGAGTCAAGGTTATTTATTATTTTACTTTGTTGTTGTTATTATTATTGTTGTTTTACTTTATTATTGTTGTTATTACATTTATTATTTTACTCTATTTATTATTGTTATTGTTACATTTATTATTTTACTCTATTATTATTGATATTATTTTACTCTATTATTATTGGAAGGATACGTAAGCCGGCCACATGACCTCAGAGGTGTCTATGGACAATGCCGGCTCTTTGGCTTAGAAATAGAGATGAGCACCACACCCCAGAGTCAGACACGACTGGACTTAATGTCAGGGGAAAACCTTTACCTTTACAAAACAACCACAACATAAATCTGAAATTATGAATAGCCTTCAAAAATTGGGCAGTCACCGAAGACATTCTGGTAGCAAGAAAAAGTAATTCTAAAATCAGTCCTTGCTTCCTTAAAAAATTGTATATGCCAGTTTGATCACTGATATACTTAGACATCCCGTTAGTATTGATGTGACTGAGTAAGATGCCACCTAGTGTCAACTCAGGCTTCTGTAAAGGCCCTGAACCCAGCTTTGGTGAGTGTACAGTTTGCCCACTACAGTTTGCTGCTGTCACTGTTAAACCACTCTTAATCCTTGTTATTTTTTTCCCCTAATCCCGCTCTCCTTGCTCCCTGCTGCCTTGCTTGCAGGGCCTTTGTTCCCAGCCAGGAGCTGGAGCTGAGCCCTAGGCATGAACAGGCTAAGCAACTGCTACAGAGAGCGCGTATGAAGGCCAGAACAAACCCCCTTCGAGCTAGCCATAACATCCTGCCTACTTTCTCCCAGCAAAGGAGGTAAGACCATGGATTTTCTACAAGATTGTCAGTGCTTTCAAAAGGGAGGGAAGCAGAAAAAGGAATGTGTGTAATTTCCAGTGTGTGTTTCTCTGCTTTAACTTGTGTTTTACATGTACATGGACTGCTTATTTCACACTTTTAAACCACAAAAAGCACAAATCCACTACAAGTTGTGGTACACAAAACACAAAGTTAAATATATTCTTTCAGCTAATATAATGCAATATTGAACAAATAACAATTTACAGTTTTATATAGTGTGGCATACAGCAGTATATAATGAATTACAAACTTGGTTTACACAGTGATTATACAACCGTAGCAAAAGTCTTTCTTGGTGTAAAGCCAACTTCTCTATAGGCCATGAAGTCCCTTACTCTAGAGAAGGATACTCTTGAGTGAGGTTTTCCGTTTCTTGTAAGAAGATACCCACACTTCTCTTGAGGGCATAAAATCTCTTACTTTAGAGAAAGTTACTCTTGAGTAAGTTTAGAGTTTCTTGTATGAAGATATCCACGACCGGTTTCGACTAAAGTCTTCCTCAGGTGGAGAATTGTAGAGAGTAATGAAGTGGACATCAAGTTCATCACAATAACAATGCTTCCTCGAATGTTTCATACAGTGAGACAGTGGATCTACAGGGAATATACACAAGTGGCTAGAACATGTCCCACAAGGGATAAACATTTGCATATTATGATAACATGTAAGGTATACATAACAAAAAAGGCCTAGATCAGTGGTTCTCAACCTGGGGTCCCCAGATGTTTTTGGCCTACAACTCCCAGAAATCCCATCCAGTTTACCAGCTGTTAGGATTTCTGGGAGTTGAAGGCCAAAAACATCTGGGGACTCCAGGTTGAGAACCACTGGCCTAGATACTTACAACAGGTTCTCAAGGGCCGTGCTCTGCAAAGGTATGTTTCTGTAGCAAGCACATGGCCAACAGATAGAAAAAAGTTTATAAAGTAAAGCAATTAAAAGGGCCCAACCCAGGTAGAACAAGTCATGAAACTGTTAAAGAGCTATATATTATAATTTACATGAAACATTGGAATGAAATGGTGTCATTCAGGCCATTGAGATGTACAGTTTTAAGGGTGAAAATCCAAAAGGCTTCACGCTGTAGTAATTTAGTACATAAACCACACATCATCATCATCATCATCATCATCATTCTTGAATGCACTTAATCTGGCCCTGAAGACATTACCTTACTATTCCTTTACTACCGCTTTACCTATTTTGGGCTGCAGTCCCCTTAGCTCACCATTTAGAGCAGTGGTTCTCAACCTTCCTAATGCCGCAACCCCTTAATACAGTTCCTCATGTTGTGGTGCCCCCCAACAATAACATTATTTTTGTTGCTACTTCATAACTATAATTTTGCTACTGCGATGAATCATAATGTAAATATCTGATATGCAGGATGTAATATCATTCACTGAACCAAATTTGGCACAAACACCTGAAATGCTCAAATTTGAATACTGGCAGGGTGGGGGGGTTGATTTTGTCATTTAGGAGTTATAGTTGCTGGGATTTATAGTTCACCTACAATCAAAGAGCATTCTGAACTCCACCAACAATGGCATTGAGCCAAACTTGGCACACAGAACTCCTACGACCAACAGAAAATACTGGAAGGGTTTGGTGGGCATTGGCCTTGAGTTTTAGAGTTGTAGTTCACCTACCTCCAGAGAGCACTGTGGAGTTAAACAATGATGGACCAAACTTGGCACGAATACTCAATACACCCAAATGTCAAGCTTGGTGGAGTCTGGGGAAAATAGACCTTGACATTTGAGAGTTGTCGTTGCTGGGATTTATAGTTAATCTACAATCAAAGAGTATTCTGAACCCTACCAATGATAGAATTGGGCCAAACTTCCCAGACAGAACCCCCATGACCAACAGAAAATACTGCTTTCTGGTGGTCTTTGACAACCCCTCTGACACTCCCTTGTGACCCACCCAGGGGTCCCGACCCCCAGGTTGAGAAATGCTGATTTAGAGGTTTTTTTCTTTACAGAGAAGACTGCGACAAAGAATATATTGAACATTTTGTCCTTCTCTCTTTCTACTGTTAGAATTTCACCATCTTCTCCATGCAGTAGCCCTGCCATTTCTTTTTATAATAATAATAATAATAATAATAATAATAATAATAATATAGTTATACCACGCCACCATCTCCCCCAAAGGGGACTCGAGGCGGCTTACATGAGGCCAAGCCCGATAATATAATACAGTAAAATACATACAAGACAGCAAAATAACATAGCAATAAAATAAATGAAATGTAAGAATAAAATAAAACAGCACAAAATTCAAGGAAAGAAGCAAACAGTGGGTGGGCTAGATGTACGATATAAAATGATAAAACTCTGGGAGAGATAGCAATAAAAACTATATATATGTAAGGGAGAAGCACGTTGAGGATGGAACAATGGAGTCAAACCTAAAACAGATGGGGGAAGTGCAATATGGGGACCGCATTGTGGGAGAAAAGACAACAGGAAAGAAATATATAGTCACTCTCCATTTTTTTCCTTCTTTTTCCTCTAAACCTGCCCATATAATTCATTATTATTATTTTTAACTTCTTTAGCAAGCCTGTACACTTTCTAAGCTTTCCTTTTTCTGAATTTCCCCAAACAAATACTTACATTTGTTTGTATTACTCTACAGTGATTTCCCCTTTCTCCCATTTCTCCCAATTCCTTTAAATTTTGGCTCATCTGAAAGTTCTTTGTGGTTCTTTCTACACATCCTACTTTGCTTTCTCCCTTGAATTCTTTGCCACTGTATTCAGTAAATCCCCTTTAACAAATTCTCATGCATCATAAACACCCTTTGAGATTTTCTGACCATGGGATTTTACCTGGTATTTTCCTAAGCTTTTTGAATTCAACTTTCTCAAAGTCCAGAGTGCATATCTAACTACATTTGGTTTCCTATATCCTCTGTATAACAGACCCCAAGAGGATATGATCATTCCCACTCAAGGATCCCACTGCTTCTACTCAATTGACCAGTTCATCTCTGTTGGTTAGGATCAAATCTAAAATAGCTGAACTGACAGTAGCTTTTCTGTGCTATCTTTGTTTTTTTTTCTTCCTAGATAAAAGTTCAAAGACATGCTTTTGCATATATCAAAGCTTTTGTCATTTTATTAGGATTGCGTTTTTATATCACTTGTTGTATCCTTACATCCCCCTGCCATAATTTGCTGGCTATTGCTTTTCAGTCTCTCAACTCTTATTTTTTAGGATCCTGTCCCTGCCTGATTCATGCCTATTATCTTTAAGTAGCCTGTGGTTGGGCTTCTGTCTTCAAAATGCAACTGTAGAAAGCAGTGGCATATTATTAGGATCCTTATAAAGAGCACATGTCATGTCAGTGTGATGTAGAAAGAGGAAGGTAGAATTTCTTGGCAGAAGGATAATAAGTACTGTATATTCTGGTGTATAAGACTACTTTTTAACCCAAGAAAATCTTCTCAAAAGTCCGGGGACGTCTTATACACGGGAATCGTCTTATACATGGGAGTCGTCTTATACGCAGGAGTAGCCTTATGCATGGAAGTCGTCTTATATGCGGGAGTAGTCTTATACGCCGGGAGTCGTCTTATAGAGTGGGTGCTGAAACTTCCAATCCGTATTGGAGAATCTGTGGTTGCTGCATATTGTGGGGGGAGCTCAAAAATGGCAGTGGCCGCATCCCTGCCGTATGCTGCGGCTGTATGAAAGCATCAAGGGCGACGCTGTACAAGTATGGTAGAAGAAAATCCATTCATCAGGATTTGTGGACTTAATGTGGTCTCGATGGTGAGGTGAAGGGGCGCCTCACCGGGAAGGTGTAAGTGAAGGGTGGAGCAAGCTGCAGGCGTCCGGGGCACCCGTGGTATGAAAAAAAGAGATAGAGTGGTTCTGAGCCGAGAAAAACACACCTTTTTTACCTGTCTGGTCCGCCCTTGTATCCTATTACCATACCTCCTCCTCTGCTTCTCAGATCTCGCTCCTGAAGACTGCAGTGAAGTGGTGCAGGTGCGCATGTGCGAGATCTGAGAGGCAGAGAAGGAGGTACAGTAATAGGAAAATTACCATATTGAAATCAAATCTGATGCTTTTAAATTTTTTATTTGGTGTGTGTTGGAAGAGGGGTAGTCTCATATGGCGAGTATATCCCAAACTCTATATTTTAACTGGAAAAGTTGGGGGTTGTCTTATACGCCCAGTGGTCTTATGTGCCGGAATATACGGTAATAGTCTTTATTCAAGCTTCTTCAACCTGTGGCCCTCCTGGTGTTTTGGACTTTAGCTCCCAGGATTCCTGGCCATTAGACAAGCTGGCTAAGGATTCTGAGTGTTTGAGGCCCAAACATCTAGAGAGCCATATGTTGAAGAGGCCTGTTGTAAGGTCTAGCTCAGGTATAGGCAAACTTTGACCCTCTAGGTATTCTGGATTTCAACCTCCAGAAATCCCAAACAGCTTGCTGACTGTTAGGAACTATGGAAGTTGAAGTCCAAAACATCTGGAAGGCCAAAGTTTGCCCATGTCTAGTCTAGCTCTTAATTATGCTGCTTTAAGCCAAGTAATACCTCCAGAGTTTGGAAATAGATCAGGTTGTATTTGGGCATTTCAGTTTGACAGAGTTCAACGATCGTCTCTCTCTGTTTTGTGCCTCAGGGATCCATGTGAAATATCTGCTACAAAAGAAAATTTTGTCCTGAAGGATGGAGACTCCCATGCCAGTGGAAACTTGAGTGACTCATCCAGTGGGGAGTCCAGCTGTGGGCAGCAGAGGAAACGAGGGCCATCCCCATCCCGAGTGCGTTTTGAGGATGAGTCTGCACGGGATGCTGAGGTCCGCTACTTGGAACGCTTGCAGCAACGTCAGAAGCGGGTCTTGGATTCAGTTCTCTTATCTCTGGGCCATGGTCCACTGGTCTCCAAACCAGATCTTTCAAATTATATAAATGGTGACCTCCAACGTAAAGAGAATGGCATTTGCAAACCTGGTTGGAAACAGCAGAGCACACAGCAGGCGGCAGTCACTCACCAAAGCAGCAGGGGACGTGCCGAGAAGGGGACATCTCTGGTGGTCAACAAAGAAGGGAAATGCAGTGCCTGCGGGTCTTACGTCAGCAAATTGGCAAGTAGGAACCCTGATATCAGTGTAAACCAAACTGGGAGTGACATGCATAAAACGTGTAATGTCATACCACAAGGCAAACATGAACACAAGGAGCTCAGCACTTCTCAGGAGGACTCGTGTATAAGGCCTCTTGGGCCCAAAGGAACTCCGCTGTGGATCCTTCCTTCTCGACAGCGTGTTTACACAGAACGCATCAGGGAGACTTACATTGGGGAAGTGACTTGTATAGATGACGTGGATTCGGCTTTAGATAGTACCACTGACACATCAGATAGTTACCGGACAGACAGTGAAGAAGCTGGTATCATCAGTCAACAAACAGTGTTCAAAACTCATTGGCACAGCGGGCCTGGTCCAGATTCTAGGCCACTTTGTCCTTCACAGAAGGAAGCCAAGAGTATGAAAAATGAGGAGGAGAGGCATTGGAGTAATGCCAGCAACAACCCTTACAGAGAGGAACTCCAAGATAATGTGCCTAGCATTAAGAAAGGAGATCCTGAGTTAGGTGCTAATGAAACAAATCAATGTAGGGTTAAGGGAGCTTCTGAAATAAAAAGCCAGGCAAATAAAATTATTTCTAGCAAAGCAATCTCCAGAGGCAATCATCCTGTGGATGTGTATCCAGTAGCCAAGAAAGGCAAGGACCAAGGAGCCAAGACCCAGTTTAGGGAACCGATACCCACTGTCCACTCTCAACAGTTGCCCTCTTACAAGGCGTCTGATAGTTTAATAAACACTTTAAACAAGAAATCAATGGAAAGCTTCAGTCACAAGCCAAGCAACAATTTAAGTCAAGTAACGGATCCTTCTCGGCAGCTAAATAAGGAGATGTCTGCTGGTTTCAACCTGGAAAATCAAGTACCTGCACTTGGTGCCACTGGAAACGCCCACTCCTCCTCCCCTTTGCCTTACAGGAGGACTGTTTTAACAGGCAGCTATAACCTGGCCAGCCCTGATACTGGACAGGTGGAGGAAGCCAATGAACTGCCAGTTTATTCAACCTCTCCTAATATCCATAATGCATGTATCTCTCAAATAACAGAGCAGAATGGCATGCAAAGTCCAAAGATGTTTTCTAAGCGTCAGCTGTTGGCCTTGTCCACCAATAACTGCAATAATACCTATGCAAAGCGCCAGTCAAAAACCTCAGTGACTGCCACGGTGAAGAGTAAAGAACAACTCCAGGTCAGCCAGACGATGGGCAAAAAACATGGTAAGTGATCATGCTGATCTGTGACAATCACAATGAGGGAGGCTCTTCAACAAAACATATCCCATTCTCAGATTAAGTTATGCAAGTCACATTGATTCGTCTACATCAGGGGTACTCAAACTAAGGCCTGAGGGCCGGATATGGCCCTCCAAGGTCATTCCTTGCTGCCCTATATGAGAGCCATTTGTGAGTTAGGGCCTTTTACCCTAGCACTTAAGACCTGGCTTTTTACTAGAGCTTTTGATTTATGTTAATTTTATCAATATCTGTATGTATGTATTTTTATCCTTTACAATTTTAGCTTGTAAATCACCTAGAGCATCTTGGATGGAGGGCGATTAATAAGTAATTAAATGATGATGATGATTATGATGATGGTTTACCCGACCCTTGCTCAGGGTCAACCTAAGTCTGAAATGACTTGAAAGAACACAACAACAACAATAACAATCCTATCTCATCAGCCATCTCATAAGTTTATATTTGTTAAAATTGTTCTTCATTTTAATTATTGTATTGTTTTAAAGTGTTTTTTGCATACAAATAAGATATGTGCAGTGTGCATAGGAATTCATTCATGTTTTTTTTTTCAAATTATAATCTGGCCCCCCAACAGTTTGAGGGACTGTGACCTGGCCCTCTGTTTAAAAAGTTTGAGGACCCCTGGTCTACATTATATGTTTTTGCTTATTTTCATGTTTTAGTTTCTGTATAAATATTTTAATTTCTTCAGAATCTTGATTTAGATTCTTTAAAGAATAGCTTCAGAGTAGCTGGGAGCATAGCAGTTGTTATGTGAGAGGGTGAGCAAAAGTGGAAGGTCAAATTGTGAGAGATGTATAGACAAGAGAGCGGGAAAACTGGGATGTACAAAACACTGTAACACAGGCATAGGCAAACTTCGGCCCTCCAGGTGTTTTAGACTTCCAACTCCCAGAAATCCCAGCTCGTTTACCGGCTGTTAGGAATTGTAGGAGCTGTAATCCAAACCACCTGGAGGGCTGAAGTTCGCCCATGCTCACTATAACACATAGTTAGCCCCACAACCCAACATAAGGGGACCTTTGCTGATCCTACCAGAAGTCCATTTATTTATTTATTTATTTATTTATTTATTTATTGACTATATTTATATACCAACCCTCTCAACCCTCAGGCGATTCGGGGTGGTTTACAGTCGGTACCAAGACCATAAAATACAATTACAATACATTATTGTAATTACAATTACAAGCATCCTCAGAGGTAGTGAGGTCTGTTGGAACTACCTCTGAGGATGCTTGCCATAGATGCAGGCGAAACGTCAGGAGAGAATGCCTCTAGATCATGGCCATATAGCCCGAAAAACCTACAACAACCCAGTGATTCCGGCCATGAAAGCTTTCGACAATACAATTACAACAAGATTTAAAACATTAAGATAATATAAAACCATAGCATAGTCAATGAAAACATATATCATTAGGGCCTCCTTGCTAAAACATTGTCCAATCACATCGTCCAACCATTCCATTTTCCCATGTCTGTTACACTGTGTTTGAAAACGCCTGCTCAAAAAGCCAAGTCTTGCCTCTTTTCCGAAAGGTTAAAAGGGAGGGGGCCAATCTGATATCCCTAGGGAGGGCATTCCATAGCTGAGGGCCCACCACTGAGAAGGCCCTGTCTCTCGTCCCCGTCCGCTGTACTTGTGACAAAGACGGGATTGAGAGCAGGGCCTCCCCAGACAATCTTAAGGTCCTGGAAGGTTCATAAGGAGAGATGTGTTCAGACAGGTAAGTTGGGCCAGGACCATTTAGGACATTATAGGCTTTATCTAGTTCAATATTCCGCTTCCTACTGAGGCTGAAAGCAAACCAGTAGTTATATCTCCTTGTCAGTACTGTTTTCACTTGTGTGAGAGAGGAAAATGCAGGAAAGAAGTAATGCTGGAAATGACAGGGTAGCAGATGTCTCCTCTCTTAATCGCAGTATGTAGTACATAAGGCTTATAATGTTATTTCCTGTCCTAAAGTGAAAGTTCATGCAATCAGTCTCCTTTCTCCAAAGCTAAAATAAATAATAAGTAGATGATGATGGTGATGGTGATGGTGATGATGATTATAGAGAAACCTTTTTGTTTGTAATCTCCATTTCTAGGGTTAACTCAAGAAATTGTTCAGAAGAAATGAGTGAAGCAAGGGTTCTCTAACAAATTTGTCACTGCCCTTAGCAAGCTACTGTTTTCTAGCATTCTTTGGAGTGAGGTGGGAAATGAGTAACCCTCTGTGGACTGTACTTGCCATCTATCCTAGGTAGTACAATCACTGGTGACAAATAATGGGAGGCCCATGCATTCCACATGAAAAGCTATGGCATTTAAATTAATATAAACTAAAGGGTAACCCCTCTAATGGTCAGAAATTGATAGAAAATCATCTGACATAAGATCTTTGTCTTTCTATATGTTAAGTTCTGTTATGCTTGCAGAATGGTAAGTCCGTCCAAGAGCAGTAATTGGAAATGTCTTGTTCTAGGAAGTCCATCACCCCCAGTGTGTGGTGCTCCCCCTGTTAATTCCCGAGCCACAAATTGTATTGCCACCAGTCACTCCCTGACAACTGAGGAGACCAACTCTTCAATTTCTGGTCATTCTGTCAATAAGGAAGCTCCGGCAACAGAGGCACAGAAGACAAAGTCAGTCCAAGCAAGCACAGTCCAGCGGTAGGTAAAGATGCTATGCATTGTGAGAAAGTGGGGGCGTGGATGCTTATGGAAGGAGTGGTTGTGAAACAGCATGCAAAGAACTTTACTGATGGTGGTTTCCACTCAATCTTGGAACATCTCTTCCAAAATTTAAATCTTATTAGTGAGAAGAAGCAAGTGTCCCCTTTAGCTAGCTGGTGTGATTGGCTTTGTAGTTAATCACATTTGGAAGGCACCAATGTAGACAAAACCTGATGAAGACATTCTTCAGACTGGGTCTGCCCCACTCCTCTTTGTGTTGCTGTCACTTTTTCTGTGGAAGGTGGCTAATAAATAAGAGAATCTTTCGGAACCTGATTTGTTTTTTGCTCTGGAAACATTGAGAGAAACAACTGGAAACGCTGACACGATATGAGGGTTTAAAGATCGAACTGCAAAGACTCTGGCACAAGCCAATAAAGGTGATCCCAGTGGTGATCAGCACACTGGGTGCAGTGCCTAAAGACCTTGGCCTACACTTAAACACAATCGGCGCTGAAAAAATTACCAGCTGCCAGCTGCAGAAGGCCGCCTTACTGGGATCTGCATGCATTATTCGCCAGTACATCACACAGTCCTAGACACTTGGGAAGTGTCCGACGTGTGATCCAATACAACAACCAGCAGAGTGAACTTGTCTGCTGTGGACTCATCTTGTTGTGCTTCAAATAATAATAGTAATAATAATAATTATTATTATTATTATTATTATTATTATTTATTTATTTATATTCCGCTCTATCTCCCCGAAGGGACTCAGGGTGGACTCATCTTGTTGTGTTTCAAATAATAATAATTATTATTATTATTATTAATTATTTATTTATATTCCGCTCTATCTCCCCGAAGGGAATCAGGGTGGATTCCAAACATAAAAGGCAAACATTCAACATGCCCGAATACAACAACAATGCATCAATGAATTTGAGCAAAGCTTTAATCGGGTTGTTGTAGGTTTTTCGGGCTATATGGCCATGGTCTAGAGGCATTCTCTCCTGACGTTTCGCCTGCATCTATGGCAAGCATCCTCAGAGGTAGTGAGGTCTGTTGGAACTAAGAAAAAGGGTTTATATATCTGTGGAATGACTAGGGTGGGACAAAGGACTCTTGTCTGCTGGAGCTAGGTGTGAAAGTTTCAGCTGACCACCTTGGTTAGCATATAATGGCCTGACAGTGCCTCGAGCAAACTTTTGTTGGTAGGTGATTAGATGTCCTTGTTTGCTTCCTCTCTGTTGTTGTGCTGTTGTAATTTTTTTTTAATACCGGTAGCCAGATTTTGTTCATTTTCATGGTTTCCTCCTTTCTGTTGAAATTGTCCACATGCTTGTGTATTTCAATGGCTTCTCTGTGTGGCCTGACGTGGTTGTGAGAGTGGTCCAGCATTTCTGTGTTCTCAAATAAAATGCTGTGTCCAGGCTGGTTCATCAGGTGCTCTGCTATGGCTGACTTCTCTGGTTGAAGTAGTCTGCAGTGCCTTTCATGTTCCTTGATTCATGTTTGGGCAATGCTGTGTTTGGTGGTCCCTATGTAGACTCGGAAAAAAAAAACACATTCACACCTAGCTCCAGCAGACAAGAGTCCTTTGTCTCACCCTGGTCATTCCACAGATATATAAACCCTTTTTACTAGTTCCAACAGACCTCACTACCTTTGAGGATGCTTGCCATAGATGCAGACGAAACGTCAGGAGAGAATGCCACTAGACCATGGCCATATAGTCCGAAAAACCTACAAACACCCAGTGATTCCAGCCATGAAAGCCTTCGACAGTACAAAGCTTTAATCGATGTTGCTTGACTTGAGTTGGATAGAAAACTTCTGAAGAGTACAAGAAGATGCTTATATGTATCTGTTGTCTGTCTGATTATAAAATGGTATAATCAGCATTTAATGTTTGCTGTATATGTGTTCTGTGATCTGCCCTGAGTCCCCTTCGGGGTGAGAAAGGCGGAATATAAGTACTGTAAAATAAGAATGAAAAAATCAGTTGGAAGCTCTGTTAGAGACCTCTCAAGGGAATCAGAATAAGCCTGTTTGAGAACTCAAATAGCCTGCGATTTGAATGAACTTAGTACTCATATTTTTCTAACCTACATAGCTTGCATGCTTTCTCTAATGCCTCTCTCCCAGCCAGCCAATTTCTCTTCATAATAAAGTGCAATATGGAGGGGAGGTTTTTGAAGAGTGAAAGAGAGAAACTATGACCTTTCATAGAATCATAGAATCAAAGAGTTGGTGGGAAGAGACCTCATGGGCCATCCAGTCCAACCCCCTGCCAAGAAGCAGGAATATTGCATTCAAATCACCCCTGACAGATGGCCATCCAGCCTCTGTTTAAAAGCTTCCAAAGAAGGAGTCTCCAACTCTGGGGCAGAGAGTTCCACTGCTGAACAGCTCTCTCAGTCAGGAAGTTCTTCCTCATGTTCAGATGGAATCTCCTCTCTTGTAGTTTGAAGCCATTGTTTTGTGTCCTAGTCTCCAGGGAAGCAGAAAACAAGCTTGCTCCCTCCTCCCTGTGGCTTCCTCTCACATATTTATACATGGCTATCATATCTCCTCTCAGCCTTCTCTTCTTCAGGCTAAACATGCCCATCTCCTTAAGCCGCTCCTCATAGGGCTTGTTCTCCAGACCCTTGATCATTTTAGTTGCCCTCCTCTGGACACATTCCAGCTTGTCAATATCTCTCTTGAATTGTGGTGCCCAGAATTGGAAACAATATTCCAGGTGTGGTCTAACCAAAGTAGAATAGAGGGGTAGCATTACTTCCTTAGATCTAGACACTATGCTCCTATTGATGCAGGCCAAAATCCCATTGGCTTTTTTTGCCGCCACATCACATTGTTGGCTCATGTTTAACTTGTTGTCCACGAGGACTCCAAGATCTTTTTCACACGTACTGCTCTTGGGCCAGGCATTGTCCCCCCTTCTGTATATTTGCATTTCGTTTTTCCTGCTATCATAATTTCAAACTTCATTGTAAAAAAAGAAACACACTTTTAAAATCCTAATTCATTTACTAAATTCTTGCCTAAACTAACACTTAGTTTCCCTGAACATGCTGGGTTCCCTGTGTTATAGCTGTGTACACCATCAAAGGCTGTAAAAGGGGGTATAGCTTTTCCTGTTCGTTCTGATAAAAGGTCTGCTGTAACTCTTCTTCCTTCCATCACTTTTATCCCATTGTAATTGTCCTTCATTTGGACCCAGGTGGGTGTGCTGCTCTCATAGCAGTATCTCTGTAGCCCAAGCTTTTCATTATTTCTGCCAGCTAGCCCCATCTTTTTGGTTCTGCCAGCTGACTCTGAATCTAGTTACCTTTCCTACTTCTGCCTCCCTGAAATCTGCCTTGACCTGCTTCTCTGTTCCTGCCAACATCCCCATAAAGTAGTTGCCATGACTACAGATCTTGGCCCTCAGAAATTAAGCCTCTTCCACTTTACCAAGAGATTATGTCTAAAATTGTACAAAAAGGCACCCTATTGTTTCTTTCAATATAGTGTTTTAAAATGTCTGATTTATTCACAAAGGCAAACATGTTTAACAAAGTAAACAATGCACTCAGTTTTTAGAATGTTGTCATCTAACTATCTATATAAATAAAAATGTAATGTTAGTTTGTGGGATTAACATAACTCAAAAACCACTGAATGAATTGACCCCAAATTTGGACACAATACACTTGTCAGGCCAACAAGTTTATTTATTTATCGTGTCATCAGCAACCATACCATTGTATTACATTTCTAACAGAACAAAACAAACACACAGATTAAAAAAACCAAAAAACCCCCACCGATTTTGCAAACGTAGTAGTTGGTTAAATGTCCTTGGACCAGTATCTGGCCACTTGGAGTGCCTCTGGTGTTGCCGCAAGAAGGTCCTCCATTGTGCATGTGGCAGGGCTCAGGTTGCATTGCAGCAGGTGGTCAGTGGTTTGTTCTTCTCCGCACTCGCATGCCGTGGATTCCACCCTGTAGCCCCATTTCTTAAGATTGGTTCTGCAGGAAAGATTTCTCCCATGGCGTGTTTGTGAAGGTCAGAGAGTCAGTATTGAATGGAACAGGAATGGACAATGAAACGGGATAGTGGGAGAAATCCATTATCCTTAGGAGTGCTTCCAGATAGAGTAGTTCTGCCAGTCAAAAATGTGGTGCATGTATTTCATCTTTTCCTCCTTCATGGATTGTTGAGGAGAGAAAAGAAGAAGACAAAATAGTGGGGAAACAACAGGGTTTACAAGTACAGGGTGCAGCAGCATGACTTCCTTTTTTCAAAACTTAATAAAACCATATTTGAAGCCATATAATGTTTTGTAAAGCCGCATTTATTAAAATCTGAAAAATTACGTTGGGAGCAGTCATGTTTCATAGCTGTCTTGACTGGTTTCTTTCCTCTTCCAGCAAACCCATAGAAATCTTCCCTGAACCAAAAAAGAAACAGTTTGCCAAGAAAGGGGGTACCTCTTCTTCCTCCTCCTCTGCATCAGGACTCAAGAAATTCTTCTCCAGCTTGAGCCAGAACACCAAGCAGAAGCTGGGCAGGTTCCGGTGCTACAGCATGGAGCAGATTTCTGCCCCAGAGCCAGGAGCACTGCCCACTGAGGAACCAGGCCTAGACACTACCAGATCGCCTAAAATGAAGAAAGCACCCTCCTTGCAGTCTTTGCAGCTGGTGAGTCCAAAGTGTGTTTGTTAGATGCTTTCAATGAGGTTATAACTCCATAGTGGGCTGCATCCCTTCAATTGAAGACCACTGTTCAGTGTCTATTTCTAATTTCCATGGGAGAAAAAATGCAGCTCAGTAGTTCAGTGCATGCAACCTAGAACTTTTCCCAAAATTGTTTCCAATATGCTATGGTTCTGTGGCAATTTCCTAAGAAATTAGTCAATGTGGAAAGTGATTGCTGGAGTCTGAAAATTCATTGGGTAAGGAATGATGACTAATCAGTTAAAGCCACCAAGATGAACATAATAACCAATGGAGCAAACCATTTTCCAACCCCCAGCCTGACCAATATTGTTTTCTGTCTCCAAACAAGATGGAAAAACAAAATGGAATGAAACATCTATCTATCTATCTATCTATCTATCTATCTATCTATCTATCTATCTATCTATCTTCAGTTGTTAGATGATGATGATGATGATGATGATAATGGGATTTTGGCCTGCATCAATAGGAGTATAGTGTCTAGATCCAGGGAAGTCATGCTACCCCTCTATTCTGCCTTGGTCAGACCACACCTGGAATATTGTGTCCAATTCTGGGCACCACAATTAAAGAGAGATATTGACAAGCTGGAATGTGTCCAGAGGAGGGCGACTAAAATGATCAAGGGTCTGGAGAACAAGCCCTGTGAGGAGCGGCTTAAGGAGCTGGGCATGTTTATCCTGAAGAAGAGAGGAGATATGATGGCCATGTATAAATATGTGAGAGGAAGTCACAGGGAGGAGGGAGCAAGCTTGTTTTCTGCTTCTCTGGAGACTAGGACGCGGAACAATGGCTTCAAACTACAAGAGAGGAGATTCCATCTGAACATGAGGAAGAACTTCCTGGCTGTGAGAGCCATTCAGCAGTGGAACTCTCTGCCCCGGAGTGTGGTGGAGGCTCCTTCTTTGGAAGCTTTTAAACAGAGGCTGGATGGCCATCTGTCGGGTGATTTGAATGCAATTGCTTCTTGGCAGGGGGTTGGACTGGATGGCCCATGAGGTCTCTTCCCACTCTATGATTCTATGATTCTATGATAATAATAATAATAATAATAATAATAATAATAATCTTTATTTATACCCCGCTCCACCTCCCCCAAGGGGACTCGGTGCAGCTTAGGCCATGCCCATCAGTACAATACACAACAATATAACACAAAAACATAATAAAGCCAAAAAATAAAATACATGAAATGCAAAACAATGTAATAAGCAACACAACAATATAAAATCGTTGTTGTGAACATTTCACTCTATTTCCCTTTGTAACATTTATATTTGATCAGAAGTACTCCCTTAAACTCTTTTGTCTGCTTCCCAACTGTATAATACGGGGTTTTTGGAGACTCCATTCCAATTTCCAAGAAAAAATATTTGTAGTAAACCCCTGTAGAGTTACCTTTCATCTTTCAGAAGTGTTCCTATCCCATGTTATGTTATAGCTTGTTTTCTATGGCTGGGATTAAGGCTTGCACTCTTCATCTCATTTTGCCTGATATTACATGACCTGATTGTATATTATGGCAACAGGGTTTCTTGTGATTTCCCAGAACATGAATAGGTAGAAAGCCTATCCATATCCTGCTAATAAAAGGCAAGTCTTTCCTATATCTTGAAGAGGTCAATATGTAAGAGGTTGGGCAGTGTGCAAGTAAATTATTCAAGGTTTGGAATGGTAATCTTTGTTTACTTGCATCCATTGTATCTCCAGTTTAGTTCTCCTGCCCTTTCAGTAATTTTGTTTGCCCGCTAGGTGTCATCTTTCTGCCAACCAAGAAAAGCCTCTTCTGTTCAAAATCTGCATTCTCTGTGGGGCAAAACTGACAGGTCTAGTCTGTATCTGCTGGGGGACCCAAAAGAAGAAGACGCTCTTCCTAACAGGTGAGGATGGAGAAGCTGGGAATGGCTGTTTATGGCTTGGAACCTTTGTCTCTTTTTCCTGCTAGTACTTGGGAATGCTTACTTTTCTGAACAATATTTCTCAGAATTCCTTGACTTGCGTTACCACTTTTGGCTAGGAATTCTGTGTACTAGGAGTTTAAATGTAAATATTCTATTCTATGGACCTCAACTAGTATGTTTTGGCTTCCAAACGACACAACTTAATAGTATAATGCATATGTACGAGTGTTGAATGAAAAGTAATGCCTCCACCTTCGTTACTTGGGTTTGGATGGGAATATTTTAATAAATAAAATGCAGAAATAATCTTTAGAATGTGCTCTTTAACTACTACTATTCACTTTTCGACATAATCACCACACAATTGGATACATTTCTGCCAATGCTGAACAAGTTTTCTGAAGCCATCATGGAAGAAGTTGACACTCTGTTTCCGCAACCCATTGTGCACAGATCTTCTGATAGTCAAGCAAAGCAATAATGTGACCCACACATTCTTGGAAATGCTGATTATGCTTGAAATTTCTCTCTGGGTGATACAACGATTGTCCTGAATCAATCTGTCAATCTTTTGCTTGTGAAACTCAGTGGTTGCTGTCATAGGACGTCCAACTCTTTGTCACGCAAGTCAGATGTTCCCACCTCAATATCTTTAAACTATGGAGCCCCAGGTGGTGCAGCGGGTTAAACCCCTGTGTCGGCAGGACTGAAGACCGACAGGTCGCAGGTTCGAATCTGGGGAGAAGCGGATGAGCTCCCTCTATCAGCTCCAGCTCCTCATGCGGGGACATGAGAGAAGCCTCCCACAAGGATGATAAAAACATCAAAATCATCCGGGCGTCCCCTGAGCAGACAGCCAATTCTCTCACACCAGAAGTGACTTGCAGTTTCTCAAGTCACTCCTGACACGACGAAAAAAATATATCTTTAAACTTACACGACGATGCACAGTACTCACATCAACACAATCTCCATAAACAGCTTGCATTCTCTGATGAATCTCCTTTGGGGTGACACCTTCTGCTGTCAATAATTCAATGACTGCACATTTCTTAAGTTGCATTGACCAACCGTCTGCGCAGGGTTCCATACTTCGCACTTTAACAACACAACCGTTGAATGCTAAGGCTTCCCGCCAAAATGGAACTGTAGAGGAGAGCCTACTGAACACGCCAGTACCTGCCGCATACCAGTATTGCCATCTGTTGAGGAGTTGCGAAGGTGGAGGCATTACTTTTCATTCAACCCTCGTAATTACAGTGTTGTGAACAGGAATGTCTCAATTTCGGTATTTGTTATTATTTTTGGCAGTAACCAGACTTGATCCTGCTCCTAAAAACTATTTCTGAGTACATTGTGGAGAACATCAGATGTTTTAAATGTATATACATATTATAGCAGTAGTTGGAGCCCCCTGTGGCACATCCTCTATGACAAAGAGCCGTCAAGACTTCCTCATTCCAGCATTTTCTGATCTTCTTTTTCTTTATGGCATTGTAAAACACCTCCCCTGCTTTTTAGCAGTACCTAATTTCTCTAATCACAGCTAAAGCTGTTTACGAACTGCATAGGTAAACAGTGGACAGGGCTGACGGTTGGCTGCCCATGCTAACCCAGGGTTCGAACTTGCAACCTTTTGGTTGATAGATCTTATAGTTGCTGATGATTTACCAGCTGTGCTAAACCTCCGGCCCTATGTCACAAAAATTGAAAAAAAAAATGTTCCTGGTTTGGAAGTGTTATTTCTGTTTAATTGTGTGGTGCTTACTTTGAAAGTAATTGTCATACTCCAGAAACTTGGTTTTTGTGGCTGCCACAAACTACATTGAATTGGTTGAGACTGGATGAGATATTTTTTGAAAAACTAGAGCAAAATGTTTTGTGAGATGTCCCGCAAAATCAAAGCTTTTGTAGTTTAATAAACTTTTTCCATTTTTTTTTTATAGAGCCAATTAGGAAATGACATTTATAACCCAGGAACAAAAATAGTGTAACATAATGTTATTATTTTACCCTGCATAAATTAAATGTCTGAGAGCAAACTATCCAAATACAGATGTGCTTCTGGCAGCAATTTTGATAGTGTTCAGTAATAATGAATAATGTGGTGTTGAGGAAATGATGATACCCGAATTGGCAGTTAAGAGACAAGAAGTCTTTTTGGAGTAAGACTGAAAGAAAGAAAAAAGAATCAATGCTCCTATCTGAGGCACGTTCCTTTGCCATGCACAACTCTAGTTTCCTTTTGTCTCTTTTCCCCTCCTTCCAGGAAAGCTGGGTCCCAACATCGGCGTTCTCTGAGTGTGGAGGACATTGGCTCTCCAAACCTGATGAGAACTGTGGGGCGAGTGGTGGAAGTTTTCCCAGATGGCACGAGTCAGTTGGAACTGCAGCGCTCCCCTCAGGGCAACTTTGGATTTCGTGTCTCTTCAGGAAATGGCCGTCCTGACACAGGTATTGTTAAGGAAACCAGTCTTCTTAAATCATAACTTGGTACCGTTAGCTCAAAGTTTCACCTTTTTGTTGCAATGTCTCTGAGTGTTGCAAATGGTATTGTGTGTTCTGCTACCAGTTAACATGGCTATTTTCTGACTTAAACCATCATAATGTGAATCTGTCATAGGACATTCAGCCTTCCTCTGAAGCTGAGAGAGGATGACTTGCCTAAAGCATCCAGTGCATTTCCAAGGCTGAGATCTGAACCCTGGTCTCCAGAGTTGTAGTCCAGTACACCATGCTGTATGCAGTGGCACAGTGGGTTAAACCACTGAGCTGCTGAGCTTGTTGATCGTAAGTTTGCAAGTTCGAATCCAGGGAGCGGTGTGAGCTTCCGCTGTCCACCCCAGCTTCTGCCAACCTAGCAGTTCGAAAACATGCAAATGTGAGTAGATCAATAGGTACCACTCTGGCAGGAAGGTAACAGCACTCCATGTAGTCATGCCAGTCCCATGACCTTGGAGGTGTCTGTGGACAATGCTGTCTCTTTAGCTTAGAAATGGAGATGAGCACCAATCCCCAGAGTTGGACATGACTGGATTTAAGGAGAAAGGGGGAAAACCTTTACCTTTATGTTTACCTACACCAGTGGTTCTCAACCTTTCTAGTGCCGTGACCCCTAAACACCGTTCCTCATGTTGTGGTGACCCCCGACCATAAAATTATTTGTGTTGCTATTTCATAACTGTAATTTTACTACTGCTAGGAATTGTCACATAAATATCCGATATGTAGGATGTCATAAATTGAACATAATTAATGCATAGTGATTAATCACAAAAACAATATGTTTGGGAGAGTGTGGACAACAGACAATGGTATCTGCAGTACCTTTGACCAATTTAGCTCTGACTTCCACAGCCGAGACCCCCACGCATGACAGATCTGGACCACACTTGGCACACAGAACCCCCATGACCAACAGAAAATACTGGAGTGGTTTGGGAGGAAGTGAAAGTGAGTTAGGGGAGATGTAGTTTGCCTACAATTGGAGAGCACTCTGAACCCAAACAACCCTGGATCTGAACCCGTGCCCTTGGGGCGGGGCCAACGGAGGCATTCTCGCGACCCCTCCAAAATGGCCAGGCGACCCCCCTGGGGGTCGCAACCCCCAGGTTGAGAACCGCTGACCTACACCATGCTGGCTCTTGGGGCAAGATTATCCCCAGGCAGATTGCTCAGGGCTACTCTCTTTCTGACCATTTTTCTCTCCCATAGCAGCCAGCGTTTCACAAAATTAGACAGGATATCTATATAAATAAAAATGTAATGTCTGTTTGTGGGATTAACAGAACTCAAAAACCACTGGACAAATTGACACCAAATTTGGACACAATACAGGCCAACGAGTGACCATCACTCATAAAAACATTGGTTTTGTGCATGTGCATATTTTTTTTTGTTTTTTGGATTTTTAAGTCTCCTTTGCTGTGTTTTTCAGTGTTTTTATGAGTAATGGTCACTCATTGGCCTAATAGGTGTATTGTGTCCAAATTTGGTGTCAATATGTCCAGTTGTTTTTGAGTTCTGTTAATCCCACAAACGAACATTACATTTTTATTTATATAGATTTTTAATATACGCATATTCCACATTCCTTTCCAGTTTTGAGGGTGTCTTACTTTATTACAATCTGACTCCCACATTCTTTTGAGGTGGTCCTGCACCTGGACTCCCTCCAAAATTTCTAGTATTTTAAAAATACATCTCTGTGCTTTTCTTCCTTTTCCTTTCTTCTTGGCAGGCATCTATGTCCAGGAGATGGCAGACCCAAACACAGCCAAACTCTATGCTGGCCTCCTAGGAGCTGGAGATGAGATATTGGAAGTGAACGGTGCCAAGGTTGCTGGGCTGGGCCTGGCCCAGATCAATGAACTGCTCTTATGGTCGGACACACTTGCGGTTAGAGTACTGAGGCAAAGGCCTCTCCGGCGGTAGCAAAGAAGCACTGGGTGACCACAGGGAATTGCTTGAAAGTGACGTTTTCACTGCCCAACACACACAGAGCCTCTGGTGCCTACTAGGCCTGCCTGGGACTTGGAGCAGAGCCTACTTCCATCTCCATTATCGATGCCTTTCTGACTTGGACTTGGGTACACCCCAACCTTACGTTTCATTAATGAACAGTTTGGGCAGGCAAATGTCTCTCTCCCCCTCCCATTGCCCCTAACAGGGAAGATTTAGCATTGACATCTTGTTTTGAGGTATGTGGGATGAAATGAAAGGGTATCTCCCCACCTCTTAAACATATATATTCCTACACTTCCCCAGCTTTAAAGCCTGAAGGATGCTGGATCATCTAAACATAATAGTCCGAGTGGGCACATAAAAGACTCCTCAAAGATCTGTAGGCTCACAATTTGTCCTTGCTATAGGCATTGCCCTTCATCAAATGACATCTCTTCAAAATGTGGATACCCTGCAAATGGATAGTCTCCTCAGGAAGCTTCCAGGAGTGAAGAGGCTGTTGACTGTTTTGGGTAACTATAGTAACAGCTTCCCTCACTGAAAGGACATTGCCCACTCTGGAAGGCTTTGGCTTGCCTGGGCCAGCTCTCAGTCTCTCTTTGTGCTAATATCAGCCATTTCTGCACTGTGAGTGCCAGCTGTCCAATCTGTTTATTGTTTGTTGTCCTCTTAGATAAGGTTGAAGCCTGCTCTTAGAGAATTAGCAGCCTCCTACACATAGTAACTACCAAGGTAAGATCCTAGGGTGCATTATACTTAAAATGTTCCTCAAAGTTATTTGCAGAAAGCCATAAAAGTTTAGATCATGATTTTTATTGCTTCTGTACTTGCACTTGAACCCTGTTACCTCACAGTAAGAGCTCATGCTATTCTTTAGAGGATTGGCACCTTTCCTCTACATGGTTGCTGTGAAATACACACACATGGGTCTCCTGCGCCTGCGCAGGCCATTTCAGAACTCTCTAGATGTCACGTTGCCAGGGCTCTACTTGTTTAGGTAGAGATGAATCAAACAGTTTAATTAAAACAGCACTTACTTGCTGGCTGTTTATATAATCCAAAATATAAAACACAAAGATACCACGCAGCTACAAATAAACAAAAACTGATAGCAAAAATAACTTCGTAGTCAAAAGGGTCCAGTCCAGTGGTCAAATGCCGAGAGTTCAATAAACAAAGTCAAGGGATCTAGAGTCTATACCGTAGTCAAAAGCCAGTCCAAAGGTTCAAAGTTCCAGGATTCCAAGATTACAGGAAACAGGTCAGGACACCGAAAAATCCAAGACCTGGGGGGTAAACCAGCAACATCCACCACCAAAATGCAACAGATACTTTTCTCCCAAAGATAAGTCTCAAAGTTAGCTCCTTAAATCCAGTAACACCCAGCTGCAACCCATCTCCTGCACACCTCCACCCTTAATTGCTTTTACCTGTAAACTGTTACTTACAAACTACTCAACCCTTTAGAACCAAGACTTACATTAACCCTTCCATCACCAACTGCCAGGTCTACCACCACAAACCACCATCAACTATGGAACATATGACACTAGAAGCTCAAAGGAAACATTTTGGCGGTAGCCCCACCCATCCTCCCTGTGTCCATAAGCATTGATTGTTTGACTTGGCACAAGAAAGATGGCCAGGTGTGTACCTAAACCCATTTTCTTCAAAGGTGGCAGCAAGCACTTTTTTGGAGAGTATTTCAAATTTCTGGGAAATGGAGATTGAAAAGGCGCTTCAAAAAGAGAGATTGGTGGCTGCTTCCATTTCAGGGGCCTGCTGGAGCACTGTGCAGACTTTTGATGAATCTTCCAAGTAGTGGCCAAGCAGCCCCATCACCCTACAAGTCAATGCAGCCTGCCTATCACATTATTGTCCCCCATGAAGTTCAGAACATGACAATGGCCTCTTTCTCATGATGCGTTTGGCCTGTAGCATTTCAAGCTACAAGTGGGTTTCATATCACTGAATGTTCATTAGTACAAAAAAAAAATCATTCTATACAGAAAACCTAGTGAAAGACTAGCCCACAACTTGACTTGCGAGTAATTTTTAAAAATTACTTTTGCTTTGGAGAAAAAACATATTCAATTGTGTAAGCTCCTGCCTGCAAGTCTGAAATGGTTCAACCTGGAGTCAGTCCAGGGAGAATGTGGCCTGAATATGATCTTACTGTTTTGTATCATTTTGTTTTCGAGCTGACTTGGTTTTCCAACCAGCTCAAATGACCAGGTTCACTCCTGAGCCTTGCAGCAAAAAAGCTGATTGTGACGGGAGAGGTCTCTGTTTTCAGGGAGCAGATTTATGTACTGCCATAGGTTGCTCTTGACAGCACTGGGAAGCCTCTTTACCTTGGTTCACCATGGTTCTCTGATTAAATTATTTTTTTAAACAATCCTATGCCTTTGGCCTCAAGTGATTGATGGAAAAGTAGCATTGTAAATTCAGGGAAAGGTAATGTGGGTGTTCCTTGCCTAAGAAAACCCTATAGAAATCATGGGATCACAATAAGATTTTTTGTGTGTGTCAGGAGTGATTTGCAAGTCACTTCTGGTGTGAGAGAATTGGCAGTCTACAAGGACATTGTCCAGGGGACGCTCGGGTTTTTGATATTTTACCATCCTGTGGGAGGCTTCTCTCATGTCCCCTCATGGGAAGCTGGAGCTGAGACAGGAGCTTACCCCACTCCCCGGATTTGAACCACCAACCTGTCAGTAAGCAGTCCTGCCCACACAAGGGTTTAACCCATGCCACCTTAGGCAATCCCTCGTTGTACGAGTAGGATAGTCCTCCAAGGTCGATGTCCTGGAGGTGGGTCCGTAGGTGACTGGAGCCCTATTCTTGATCTGCATCTTCTCCCACAGTTGTAGGCATTGGTTTACAGGTGGAAGGCGGGCCCGGTCGGGGTTGGCTTGATGCGCCTTCCTCTTGGCCTGTTTCTCTCTTTCACCAATGCTCCACATGCAAACACACTGCTACCAAGAGACCCAGGAGGTAAACTGGGTCTCTTGGTAGCAGTGTGTTTGCATGTGGAGCATTGGACCAGGGTTGAAATCCCCACTCAGCCATGGAAACCCCTGGATATAACCTTTGTTTCAAGTCACATTCTTTCAGCAGCAGAGGAGGACAAGCACAAATCCTTTCTGAACAAATCTTGCCAATTTATTTATTTATTTATTTATTTATTTATTTATTTATCGTGTCAGGGCAACCAGTCAATTATATTACATTTCTAACAGAACAAAGCAAACAAACAGACAAAATACAAAATTTGTGAGTTTGGTAGTTGATTAAATGTCCTTTGACCAGTATCTGGCCACTTGGAGTGCTTCTGGTGTTGCTGCAAGAAGGTCCTCCATTGTGCATGTGGCAGGGCTGAGGTTGCATTGCAGCAGGTGGTCAGTGGTTTGCTCTTCTCCACACTCGCATGTGGATTCCACTTTGTAGCCCCATTTCGGAAGGTTGGCTCTGCATCTCGTGGTGCCAGAGCGCAGTCTGTTCAGCGCCTTCCAAGTCGCCCAGTCCTCTGTGTGCCCAGGGGGGAGTCTCTCATTGCGTATCAGCCATTGGTTGAGGTTCTGGGTTTGAGCCTGCCACTTTTGGACTCTCGCTTGCTGAGGTGTTCCGAGTGTCTCTGTAGATCTTAGAAAACTATTTCTAGATTTAAGTCGTTGACGTGCTGGCTGATACCCAAACAGGGGATGAGCTGGAGATGTCTCTGCCTTGGTCCTTTCACTATTGGCTGCTACTTCCCGGCGGATGTCAGGTGGTGCGATACCGGCTAAGCAGTGTAATTTCTCCAGTGGTGTAGGGCGCAGGCACCCCGTGATAATGCGGCATGTCTCATTAAGAGCCACATCCACTGTTTTAGTGTGGTGAGATGTGTTCCACACTGGGCATGCATACTCAGCAGCAGAGTAGCACAGCGCAAGGGCAGATGTCTTCACTGTATCTGGTTGTGATCCCCAGGTTGTGCCAGTCAGCTTTCGTATGATATTGTTTCTAGCACCCACTTTTTGCTTGATGTTCAGGCAGTGCTTCTTGTAGGTAAGAGCACGGTCCAGAGTGACTCCTCAGGTATTTGGGTGTGCTGCAATGCTCCAGTGGGATTCCTTCCCAGGTGATCTTCAGAGCTCGGGATGCTTCTCTGTTCTTGAGATGAAAGGCACATGTCTGTGTTTTAGATGGATTAGGGATCAGCTGGTTTTCCCTGTAATAGGCAGTAAGAGCACCTAGAGCTTCGGAGAGCTTCTGTTCTACCATCTCAAAGCTCCCTGCTTGAGCAGTAATTGCACGATCATCAGCATAGATGAAACTCTCTGTCCCTTCTGGCAGTGGCTGGTCATTTGTGTAGATGTTGAACATGGATGGAGCAAGCACGCTCCCCTGAGGCAGGCCGTTCTTCTGTTTCCGCCATCTGCTTCTCTGGCCCTGGAACTCAACAAAAAAGCTCCTGTTTTGTAGCAAGTTTCCTATGAGGCGGGCGAGGTGGTAGTCCTTTGTGATATTATACATTTTTCTCTGGAGGAGGCGGTGGTTCACAGTATCTTCTTGCCAAGAAACCCTGTGATAGGTTCACCATAATTTGGAAACAACCTGAAAGCACACAATTGGAAATAATTCAATTTTTATTCAATCTAAACATCTGATCGAATGTGAGGGCCTTCAAATGATCAAATGTTTCTTATCTACAGAGCCAATCCATATCCTAATGACTGCGACATGAGTCTTTCCTTCTCTTGCATAGAATGCAATGGCATCCTGTACTTCACACCCATGAAATCAGCATGGGAACTTTCTAACATGCAGAAAACAAAACAAAAGGAGATTTGGGGAAAATGTACAGATATCAAATAAGTATTACCACAAAGATTTATTTATAGCATTTTTTTTTCGGGAAAGAAAAGTAATAAACTTCACTGGAGGAGAAAAACCCCCTCTAATCTGTGGAAGAAAGGAACTTGAGGGAGCATCATTGGACAGCAACTATTCCATTGAGCAGCATCTCCTGGGAAAATAAGGTAAGGAATTGGGTTGCTATGAGTTTTCCAGGCTGTATGGCCATGTTTTCCAGAAGCATTCTCTCCTGATGAATGGAGAGAATGCTTCTGGAACATGGCCATACAACCCGGAATACGCATAGCAACCCATTGATTCTGTCCATGAAAGCCTTTGACAACACAAGGAACCGATTGAGCTCAGAATGGTGTTTTGTTTGGATCATAACTCTGAGAATCTCCCAACCATAATGACAAGAGATTGTGATGGTTAAAGTGCAAAAAAGCAGCTGTGCAGTCCAAAAAAGTAACTCACTTTTGCTAGTTCTGCTGTGCAGTTCACTATGAGCATAGGAGCTCCATTCTAATCTATGCACCAACCAGAATTTAACACTAATTTTCTCGTCACCTGCTTAAACATTCAAATCTTGTGCTAACTCAGTAGAAGGAGAAAAAGTATGAGCTAGCATGGCTACATTTGTGAGAGACATTTAACCGTTTCTATTATTTGCAATGTTATGGAAGTATTGTAATGATTTGTGGGAGGCAATTAATAGCTGGGGACAACCATTGCTAACAGTGCATTTCCATTATCAGAAGCCGGGCCTCTGCTGTTTGTCTTCTAAGAATGTTATTTGTGTGTCAAAGGGTTAGAGCAGAGCTTTCCAAACTGTGTGTCGTGACACATTAAGTCTGTCGACTGCAGTGTGTAGCTGTGTCATGCAAACATACTGAGTCTCTGCAAAATAAGGCATAAAGCATATATTTTTGAAAAATACCAAATGAAAGCATTTTCTGAGCTATGTAGT